TAGTGTAATCTAAATATTTACTTTACCAGCTGATAGAGTCAATTTCAGCTATCTGTATAGTCGTCTAAATATTTACTTTACCAGCTGATAGAGCTCAATTTCAGCTATCTGTATAGTCATCTAAATAGTTACTTTACCAGCTGATAGAATTCAATTTCAGCTATCTGTATAGCCATCTAAATATTTACTTTACCAGCTGATAGAGCTCAATTTCAGCTATCTGTATAGTCATCTAAATATTTACTTTACCAGCTGATAGAGCTCATTTTCAGCTATCTGTATAGTCATCTAAATATTTACTTTACCAGCTGACAGAGTTCAATTTCAGTTATCTGTATAGTCATCTAAATATTTACTTTACCAGCTGATAGAGTTCAATTTCAGCTATCTGTATAGTCATCTAAATATTTACTTTACCAGCTGATAGAGCTCAATTTCAGCTATCTGTATAGTCATCTAAATATTTACTTTATCAGCTGATAGAGCTCAATTTCAGCTATCTGTATAGTCATCTAAATATTTACTTTACCAGCTGATAGAGCTCAATTTCAGCTATCTGTATAGTCATCTAAATATTTACTTTACCAGCTGATAGAGTTCAATTTCAGCTATCTGTAAAGTCATCTACATAGAGCCCGATTTCCGTAAAGCTCAGTGCTTGCTGAATTTTCACGAATAAATTTTAGTACTGTCATCACTCGAGATTGACAAATGAAACCTTATCGAAACGTTGTGCTAATATATACAGTGATATTGATATCCAATCCGTCCGAAGTTTTTACGTCCCATTTATTTATTTCTAAGAGGCGTTGTTTGAACAACGATGTTGTTATCCGTAAATTCTGCTGTTTTTCGTTATTTTACCATCACTAAATGACTTTTAAACAATAAAAATTGTTATTACACGTCAAGAACTTGTTATCTGCCCCTAAGTCTTGTGGTGAAACGATGGATTCGGCATAGGCTAGACGAACCACTAGGCCTACTTTTTCAAAAGTCTGACCCTCCTTCCAGCTTAGCCTCTGCTCAAGCCTCCACCGCCCCGCACCCGATGTACAGTGTCGTGTACGGTACGAGATTATCGATACAGTAGAAAATAGTAGTAACGAATCGTGTCCGCACCGTGCCCGGACCCGTACCTCGTGTGTTCACTTGTTATATTTTATACTGGATCGATCATCCCGCGCCGTACACCACACCGCACACCGCACATCGTCTATTTCCTTCGATTTCCAACTGTCGATCTTTAGTGTGCACTGCAGAGAGCATGCGTTTAACTTACAGCTGAAACTACTAGTACTACTTCATCGGACTACGATGAAACTTAGAACTTTCTACTGAGGAGGTTCGCATATAGATCAGAAATTAGGTCTGGCAGCTATGTCGCTTGCCCTATAACCATTTCCAATGGAATTGATTTCATTTCCATTTTAGTCAATATTTTTAATGTGGTGATAAGGCGCACCTTTTCTGTCTCGTGTGAAGATAATAGTCCATTTTGATTGGTCAATATTTATAAAATGGCGGCGCCCACGAAATGAAAGATAACTTAGATCAAGGTTGATTAAGTTTTCATGATCATTTCTTCAGCAATTTTGTACAACATCGGCAAATTAACTAGGGTTTCGTAATTAAGTTGCCATCTTCCAAAAAAACAGATGAAGTTTTGAATATGACATTGTGCGTTTTGATTTCTTGTTGCATTTACATGAAAAGTTTCGGACTCCCTACTCGACATCAGTGCTTAGAATCAGAGACCCCATGGTAATCGTGGCAAGATCTTGGGTAGATGTCTGTCACTACCTTCAACAGAAGTGAAGAGATAAGCCTTTTTTGGCTACTCACTATCTAAACTTACTGTTGTTCTACCAAAAAAAAGTGCATGAAAATTATGCAGGCCCACTCACTGCCACATTTAGAATTTTTCATCTGACAACTCTGTTTTTGGGGGATTTTCCCCATCTGTGAAGATGCTAATCTCTTGCCAGCCTTTTAAGACCGTGTGACCACAAGTTCAAGGGTCACATGGTTACGAAATACTATCAAAACAAAAGTGACAAAAGAAGAAGCTTGATGTTTTGTACTAGGCCTAGGCTTCTCTGTATTGTTAAAATTTGTTTCACTTCAGAGATATGGACAGATCAGTTGCATTCAACAATCTGCAGCCAATCTGTGTTGTTGTTACTAAACAGCCAAGTAGAGAGAATATTTTAAAACTGAGAGAAGAATTAATGAAACTTGATGTCGGTTTGTTACAAGATTTTCAAGAATATGTTATTTTCCCTCTACGCCTGGTCTTTAAACAAACTAAAACAATGTAAGTAGTACTTATGACTTTGTTGTTTAAACTATTCTGTAGCATGAATAGCTCAGTGGGCAGCGAGTTGGATTTCGTCTGCTTGGCAATAAGGCAGCATTGCTTCAATTCCTCCAGAAGGTTATTTTTCATACAAGGGGGTTTAAACAAAACAGTGTGTGTATGGACCTCTTTGAAAATCATGAACACAAATTATGCCCCTAATACGAGGTTTACCAGCTGGAGGGAATTAAGATAGAAGTTATGCTATATCAGACATTTGGAGTTTTAAATCGGACATGATTGGTTGATGAAAATATAGGGAACTCATCTTTAATTTGCTGTTTTTTTTTTACAGAGAAGAAGATACCTACATCAAAACGTGTGAATGTTTGAAATATATTTTTGACAATACAACAATAAGTAACTGGCAGATGGTACAAGATTTATTCACCACTATCTGTTTTCTCATTAACCCTCCAAATGGAGAATCCAAAGGTAGAAATAATGTCTGAAACTGGGGGCCTTCAAGGGTCAATTCTCACAATCAAAAATGTTCAAAAATATTTCTGTAAATATGTCTAAAATGTGCTATTTATATCTATGTATCTACTTGATCAAACCCTTTTAAAAAATATAATAATAATAATAATAATGATAAACTCTTAATTTTACATGGGTCAGAATTAGGTCCAATACACAAGGACATGGTCCTGTCTAACATTCAGTACATGGGGTTAATTACAAACAGAGAATACTAATTGTTAATTAAGCAGTTTGACCTAGTTTTGGTATAAGGTTTTATAAGAGAAACTCTCTCATAGAAGCACTGGCCTAGGTCACAAGTAGAGAGTATTGGAATACATCAATTTGATAGGAAATTACCTACTTCTGGGTGTTTGACTTTATAACATTATTGTTAGGCAGAAAAGGCAAGACTTACACCCTGTTCATTGGACTAGTATGGCTGAGATAGTTACCTCATTGCCCACTGTAAGCATATGTTGTGTATTTTATTTTAGAGGAGAGTAAATCGGAAGAGTTTATGTTGATTTTGTTGAATTGTTTATCCAGTTTGATTACTCATACAGAATGGAGGTAGAGCAATTTATAATTTGTATTCATGGAAATTTGCTGCAGAATTCTTACATGATTCTTAAATGAGCTTATTAAAGGGTGATTCCCAACATTGGGTCAAAATTTGGAAGAACTGACAGCATTGGCACTGGCATCAGTATTTTTGTTTACCTTGAGAAAAATTCCAATCCATGGCACCTAATCGTCATAAAAGGTTATCTTTAGTGCATTTGCATGAACCACATGATTGAAAATCGAAATGGTGTAAATTGATGCTGTCAGTCACCTATACATAAAGTTAAGAAAACCACTTCACAATCCCTTTAATGAACTGTGATAATGATTGAAAATTGGAATGGTGCAAATCAATGCTATCAGTGTCTCAAATACAAAACAAACTCTTTACAATCTCTTGAAGATATCAATATAAAGGAATCCTCCTAATGGATCTGTCATTATATTTCAGTACCATACAACATCTATATGAACCTTCCTCTCTACCAGCTCTGGGCCATGCTGTATCTGTATTGTTGAAGGAAGCAGAATTAGAGAGATCTCGAAGCCTGCAGATAGCTGCTTTAAATTGTTTGGATTCCATTGCCCAGACTCATAGAAAAGGTAGGCTTGTTAAAACTTAATATCATTTCATTGATCCTATAAGAGTGGTGAAAATTAGAAAGTAAATTTTCAATGTGTAGTATTTCTACAGTATAATATCATACTGTTGGTTTTTCAGTTTGTCGAAGTGAAAGACGGACATTAGGTGATATCTTAGCATCGTTTTTACCAGGAATATCCATGGCGCTAACTAGAGTTATAACTGGTGATAGTAAACAGGGACATGCTGTCATTGTGGTAGGTTAATAATTTCTGGAATCCATGGACGCTTGCTCACTAACCTGAAGGTCCAGAGTCCAATCCCTGTATAGGTCAAGATAATACCTTCGGACTTTTCAAACCTTTGATAATTTGAATTGAACCCCTGACGGTCTAGACCCCAGGTTCTCAACCTAGGGGTGTGGGACTAGGGTGTCAGGGGTGTGGCCAACTGGTGTGGGAGAAAATATTATTTTGAATTGAGAGAGCACCTCACATCATCACATGCTGAAAATGTGGATGAAACAAATTTTTGGGGTGTGAAAGGTCCAGGTGATTGCTCCAGGGGTGTGAAGGCTGAAATAGGTTGGGAAGCACTGGTCTAGTCTAGGCTAATCCACCTGACTAAATTTCCTACACTGCATTGTTTGTTTTCATTAGTCCAATAAGGTATAGAAACAGTAGGAGATGAAATTCATTCAGTTATTTATTTTCCTCACCATGATATTTCAGAAATCATTAGAAACATGGAGTAAGATTACCAGTCTAGTGATGAACAATGAAGGTTTACAAGATGATAATAATATTACAGTTAAAACTCACAGTAGAGGTATAGTTACAAAATTATATCTAAACCAGCGTTAAACATTACGAGTATTGAGTCAGTATTGAATTGTATGTCATATTATGCTCTTGATTTTCATAAGAGCTTCACAAACCTTGAAAACAAATTTAGCCACGAATTAAACATAGACATAGACATTGTAACCCATGCTGAATGTGGGTTGAAGTTAAAAGGAACTCAATTCTTTCAATGATCAGCTGGCATTGGCAAGAGGTTTGGACAAGAACCAGCTGGTAGAAAAGACCCTTTACTGTGAACTTAAGCTTTTGTCCTTGTTGTTTCCCTTGTTGTTTAAGCCATGAATGTCATTTAAAGTTTGGTTATGCTCGGTTCTCTATGATATTTTGTTCTACTATCACAGTAAATGAGAAGATAAAAGAGTTAATGATAAAAAGAAATATAGAATGGTTTGAATCGACGACCAGTAAATTAGTCATATTATTAAAAGAATTAGTAACCATCAGAACCAACAGTAATTGGAGAGTCCGCATGGCTCTTGTGGAATCAGCAGATCTTTTGTTAAAGAAATGTAACAGGTATGCGAAAAACAATTCCAGACATTGACCATTTTGAATTCTGTCTACACCTACTATTTTTTCGTCACACATTGAATGTGTTCTGAACTCTGTTCCAACTAGTTTTATAGAGTGTCAGTTGATTCCAAAAATCTCGAACGTGCTGATCTCACCAATCAAGCAACCTGATGATGCCTTAATTTCTGTTCGCTTCCAGGACAATGTCAAAGACGGTGCCTATTTTACTAGATGTTTTAGTAGGATATATAGGTGATGATTATACCAATATCAGGAATAAAGCCCTGGCTACACTAGACCAATTCAAACAGCGGCAAACAGATGTCTTGGATTCCAGAGCCCTGCAGGAAATACTGGCTGAAAATTTACATAATTTGACGACAGCCTTACCTAGACAAATACGTATGGCAGGTTGGTACAATTTCCTCATTGTACACTTAAGGGAAGTGTTTATGCCAACTAGTTGCATGGAATTTTTTACAACTTTTCAACAGTTCAAAATATAAATGATGGTGCCATTTTCTTGTTAATATTAAACATGCTCATTGGCAAAGATTTCTTTACAATTGAGAATTAAACAGTAAAAGGAAAGAGTGCTATTTGTTGCTAAGACTTCCCTCATTGTACACTGCATGGATGATTTTGATTGCTGACAAAAAATTCCTTGGCAAATGTGATGAAATAAGAATTGTACACTGTATAGCTATTTCAAATAAGTTGGCAAAACAGCCCTTGATAGTTGGAAATAAATACAAACAGTAGTATAACAGTCCTGTCTTGACATTTTGTCCCATTGTACACTGCATTGCATAGACACTCGTGTCATTTAATTTTTCTATGTGTAGATGAAGAAGAGAAACTATCAATTGTAAATCTTCTAAACGGTTATCTTACTCTACTTGGTGAGTTTGAATTTTTGTGTCCTTTTTCAAAAATTCAGAGAGGAATTTTAGTCTGCTTTTTTCTTTAAAATGAACTCACTCTTTCCATGACAGAAATTACAAATTCAGACATCAAAATCCAAATCTAGACTTAAAAATATGCCTAATGGATAAAAATAATGGAAAGGGAAGGAATAGTATACCTTTATTATTGCTAATATTATTTGTAGTCTGAGTCCTATATGATGGTTGTATGTGTAGTTACCTCCCTTACTCTGTATGACTATATATTTGTTTTCTCTGAAAAGTTATCAATTTCCGAGAGGAAAAGAATACAGCAAAAATATAGCTATATCATGACTTCCTGACAAATTTCTTTACAGGAAGTGACATCAATAAAGTTTTGAGATCGGTGGCTCATCTGAGACGGTTATTTTTATCTCTAGTTCAGTCGTTCGAGTTGGACTGTTCAGATATCAGAATAATAGAACATCATACACTTACTCTCGGTAAGACATAGAAAAAGCGTCTAGTCGTTCGGATGGGACAATAAACCGAGACCCAATGTGCTACAGTCTGTGCACGTTAAAGATACCTCGACAGCTGGTTGGCAAGATCCGTGTGAAATATAATTGTTTAACTCATTCTTTCTTATAAAATTTCCCTTCACTGGTCCACTACAAGATGCAGACTTTTTTTTTTCAAAATCAGATTACTGTTTTTTCTTTAAATCTCCGAAAAGTTACTCCAGAATAGTTAGAACTTAAAGGAAGAATGTATTCATGATATATATTGTAGATTCTACTAAAGACAGTGATATCAGGAAACCAGTCAAAGTTTTTAAACATTTTCGAGACAATAAGATTGAAACCGGTTTATATCAGACTTGTTGTTTGTTAGGACAGTATGGTACGTATGATGTATTTAATTGACTTGAACTCATCTGATGCTCATCTGGTGTTTCAGATACACAATCATCATCAGGACAGGTAGTTTAAGATATGGATGGTAACTCTTTAGCGGAGAGGTATAGAGCTCATCTGATATCGCAGCTACATGTTTCTGATAAATAATTCTCATCATGATAGCTAGTTTTGGAAATATCATCATCACCAAACTATCATCAACATCATTATGATCATCACCATACATGAAAATTAATATACAAAGTTATTATCATCATCATTATCATCATCATTATCATCATTATTATTATTATCATCATAAATCTTCTATCATCCTCACCAACCTCCCTTCCTCCTAATCATTCATCCTTATCATCATTATCATTATCATTCATCCTATCATCATTATCATTCATCCTTCTATCATCATCATTCATCCTATCATTATCATTCATCCTTCTATCATCATCATTATCATTCATCCTATCATCATCATTATCATTCATCCTATCATTATCATTCATCCTATCATCATTATCATTCATCCTTCTATCATTATCATTCATCCTTCTATCATTATCATTCATCCTATCATCATCATTATGATCATTATCATTCATCCTATCATCATTATCATTCATCCTATCATTATCATTCATCCTATCATCATTATCATTCATCCTTCTATCATTATCATTCATCCTTCTATCATCATTATCATTCATCCTTCTATCATCATCATTATGATCATTATCATTCATCCTTCTATCATCATCATTATCATCATTATTATTATCATCATTAATATTATTATATTCAGGTGATAGTGATGTTATAGTAGATCATGTGTTAGATATATATCATGAAACCAGTCTCTATAGACTACAGGCTATACTTATCATCAATAAAATAGTCCAGGGATTGTCAACAACGGAAAATAGTAAGTTATCAAAACTTCTCATCAACACATTCAATACTATTATATATTTCTACCGTGTTTTACTTTAGTAGGTAAACTTTGTATTAGTGACTGAGGTTATAGATGTTAAAACTAGCTGTAGCATGTTTCAAATTGAAAATTTAGCGCCTGGTTTGCATTCAATTATGTTGTATTTGTATCTGAGTAGAATTGTAGAATTTTGTTGTTCTTTTTTACAGATGAGGAAAGAAATGAAAGAAAAATGGGAATTGTCAGGTAAAATAAGTTTCTATTTCAATTTGTTTGGTGTTATGTTAAAAAATCTAAAAAGTAAGCCAACCAAGATCAAGAACAAGAGATTTTCTAAGCTTTATGGCTTCTGATAGCATCTTTAGAATTTTCCGTCAGATGACCGTTTGTGTAGGCCTACGTTCTGACGAACCATTTATAATCCCTTATTTGGTGCTTATTCGTATTTCAGAATGCTTGTAGAAGAATATTTATCAGATGCCAATTTTGATCTCCCTGTAACCAACATAGCCCCTGGTGGTACTAATGACTCCATACAACCCAAACAGACCAAACCAGCTTTAACACTAGCCAACATGAACACAAATATCATGCAAATTTGTTTGATTTTAGAAGGAATTGGAACATTTGCTAAAGTGAGTAATTTCTTATAATATCAAAATTTTCTAAATTTGGTTTTAATCACACAAACTTGATGTCAGAATTTTATTTTTTAAAAGAGTTACAGGCCAGATTGAATTTGATAGTACTTCAATCCTTTATAAGTATATTTTTTCAAGCTCCTAATTTGTGAATTGATCATGTACTCAGAAACAAACTCAATATAAAATTTCCATTTTTGAAAAGTATTACAGGTAAGATTTGATGTTGTACTCTATCTCTTTGAGAAAATGTCCAGGAAGTATTTTTGTATTGATTATGTACTTAAAGAAAATAATTATAATGTAGGTGACCGGCCGAGAGTTTAATACTATGTTGATAGATGTCTTGTATCCAGTGTTAGAAAAACTAGGACAAGATAATAACTATATTAACAACACAGCATATTTAACTTTGACTGATATAACCACAGCCTGTCATTATAGGTACATATTACTCTTTTTTTTATGTAACTTCATGTGATAACCCCTAATTTGTTTATTATTTTAAGGGACATGTAGATCATTTTTTGACCAATCTTACCTCAGTATTACTCCTTATTATTAAACTTCATGTGATAGCCCTTAATTTTTCATAATCTGGGTTAGAGTGGGTTTTAATTTGATATTGGGTACTATTTCGATAATATTTTTATAATTAAGAAGATCAGTTTTGCATGACTTGCCTTTTACCTTGTCCAATCATAACCAATAGGTTTGGTATAAAGAACAGCTGGTAGACAGGATCCACATGAACCTAAATTGTTATCCTTAAAAAAATAATAACCAAGAGGTTCAGTCAAGGACAAGCTGGTAGACAGGATCCACATGAACCTAAGTTGTTATCCTTGTAATATTACCAAGAGGTTCAGTCAAGGACAAGCTGGTAGACAGGATCCACATGAACCTAAGTTGTTATCCTTGTAAAATAATTACCAAGAGGTTCAGTCAAGGACAAGCTGGTAGACAGGATCCACATGAACCTAAGTTGTTATCCTTGTAAAATAATTACCAAGAGGTTCAGTCAAGGACAAGCTGGTAGACAGGATCCACATGAACCTAAGTTGTTATCCTTAAAAAAATAATAACCAAGAGGTTCAGTCAAGGACAAGCTGGTAGACAGGATCCACATGAACCTAAGTTGTTATCCTTAAAAAAATAATAACCAAGAGGTTTGGACATGGACCAGCTGGTAGAAAGGATCCTCTAAAACCCAAGTTGTTATCCTTGAAAGATCGTTGTGAACCTAAGTTGTTATCTATGTAAAATCTAACCAAGATGTTAGGTCAAGGACCAGCTGATAGACAGGATCCTTTAGAACCTAAGTTGTTATCCTTGAAAAATCAATACCAAGGGGCTTGACAAGGACAAGCTGGTAGAAAGGATCCTGGTGAACCTAAGTTGTTATCCTTGTCAAATCATAACCAAGAGATTTAGTCAAGAACCAGTTGGTGGAAAAGACCCTTGAAGTTTTGTAATTTTATTTGTTAATTTCAGATCAATTGATGAATTAATACGAAAAAATTCTGACTATCTGGTTAATGCGATATCACTGAAATTACGTCAGCGCCAAGATGGCTACCGAGCACCACAGGTTCTACAAGTCATGATACAGTACAGTAGTTCTGAAATAATTCCATTGATACATGACACTATTCAAGAGGTAGGCATCGAACATGAGATTTCTCTCCCTTGGATTTTAAAGGGACAGTCAGGGGCCTTATTATTGAAAACTTAAGTCAAGATTTTTTTTGTGTTCCAGTCATCTGATTGGTCAATTACTTTTTGAATTCAGTTTTATCAACCAATCAGATTACTGTATTTTTTAAAATCTGGGTTCTATCTTACTTAAGATTTCAAGAATAAGTCCTAGGATTTTTGAAGTAGTAATGAAAAACAGACCAAAATCTAGAGAAATGTGCCTTGAACGAAAGCATAGTTTAGTAATTTCTATTTTGAAATAAAAAATGTGTATACTGCCCCTTTAAAGTGAGAAAGTTTTCTGATTTGTTTAGTATCTTTTAAAATTCTATAACAGAGTCTTAAAGCAGAATTACAACTGATGTTTTGATATGATATTTGACTGATATTTAGAAGTGAGGAGTAAATATCAAAAACACAAGATACTATAATGAAATAAACACACTTCTTTTAAAAAAATTCAACATATTAATCTTTATAATAAAAAAGTTTCCAACAAATGTAGTTCAGAAAAGATGTACTTCATCAATTGACACTACTGTACCTAGATGTACCGAACTATATCAATAATAGTGTTGAAATTGATATGATATTGATATTGGCTGACTGGACTTATAATTACTGTTTTTATCCACCTGGTCCATACTTCCCCTTTAATTGTATATTATCCTTGTGAAATCAATTTTAAGAGATTTGACCTAGGACCAGCTAGTAGACAGGATCCTTTAGAGCCTAAGTTGTTATCCTTGTGAAATCAATTTTAAGAGATTTGACCTAGGACTAGCTGGTAGACAAGACAAAATATATTTAGAGTACTGTTTTAAGAAACATGGTAATCTGATTGGATAGTAAAACTAAGTTTAAAATCATCTTTAATAATTGACCAATCAGATGACTGGAACACTAAAATGATGTTATGTTAAGAAAAATACAGTAATCTGATTGGATAATAAAACTAAATTTAGAATTGATTTTAATAATTGACCAATCAGATGACTGGATCACTAAAATTATCTTAATTTGAGAAATATAGTAATCTGATTGGATAATAAAACTAAGTTTAAAATCAACTTTAATAATTGACCAATCAGATGACTGGATCACTAAAATCATCTAAAATAAAGAAATCTGATTGGATGATAAAACTAAATTGAACTTGAGCTCAAATAAGATTGATTGATTTACAGACTTCAGGTAGATTTAATAATTAATTTTTGTTTTACATTTTTTTTATAGATTTTAGAATCTTTGGATGATAATTACGAAGAAGAAATATTAATTTATTTAAATGTTTTAAAAGAATTGGTCATTTCTGTCAATCGCTGGTTTCCTCACAAACAAGAAAATCAAGCAAATTCCAAGATTTCGACCGACAAACCTCATCTCTATGACGACTGCCAGAGATTTGAGAAACTGTCCATAGAAGATATTGAGAAGTATTTTAAAGAGTATCATAGGAATAAAGAAATTGAGGGTAACCTCTCCAGCTTGGGGGAGGATGTTGATGAAGATGGTGATGAGGATCCTCTGGTGGCAACCGATACGACTAAACAGTTACCTTATCATATTACAGCTGTACAACAGGTACTGCATTATCTCTTGAATACATTCATGTTTAAGCCGTGTTTCACTTTAGTAGGTAAAATCATATTTTAAAGTGAGGTAATAAATGGACCACAGGTCTTTTGAATATATTGAAACTCTGACATGTTTCTACCGTGTTTCACTTTAGTAGATAAACCTGGTATTTTGAAATCCAGATTGGATCAAATACAGTAATCTGATTGGACAATGAAACTAAATTTGAAATATATATTGGTGATTGACCAATCAGATGACTGGAACATTCAAATCATCTTAGGTAAAAGTTTTCAAAATTAGAGCCCTAGGTTCACCAAGCTGACCTTTAAAAGTACTAGAGTTAGCATCAGAAGTTTTTTTTAGATTATAACTGAATCAGATGATTGTTTTATCTAGATATTAACCAGAACGAAACATTTATTATCATCTACGAATGGACGTCATAGATTACAAGTTTTACAGATTATACAACATTCTGTTAAAGCCTTAAAACATCACCAAGGTAAGAAAATAACTGTTCTTTTTCCCTCTTTCATGGTTATTTTATGTTTCGTAAATCAGTTGAGATGTAAACTCTGGATCTAACATTACTAATTGAATTATTACCCTAGGGCATATTTCACCAACCTTAATTAGATTGATTATTATATACGGTCATCTGATTGGATAATCAGTCAAATCGATTTTAAATCCTGAATTTTTGACCAATGGAATTTCAGTATGATTTTAAAATCTGGGATAATATCTTTTGAAACATAACTTCATCGTGCCTGTGTTTTTCTATTTACAGATGAGTTACTGCCCTTGTTACATGAATTATGGGTGCCGTTTTCACTGCGCTTCTCTGATGAAGAAAAACTGGTGACCATTAAGGTACAGTAATATTGCTTTTCTTTCTTTGAGAGCCGGGTTATCTCAGTGAGTTAAACACTTGCTGGTCAACCTGAAGGTCCAGGGTTTAATCCCAGCAAAGGTCGAGATTTTCAACCCCTTGTCAGTGATGCAGGTAAGAGGGACTGACATGGAAAAAGCATTTAGTCAATCAAATGGGACAATAACCCATGCACTACTGACTGTACACGTTAAACGATCCCTCGGAAAAGAGTAGGCTAACGCCACGGTCCTGACAAAATTACCCTCCTTGTACATTGCATGGTGTTGCCTGTCTTTTGTAGTCCAATAACATTATAATCTTCTTATGATATGGTCAAATTCATTATATATGTCCTGTGTATGGCAAAGTTTCTCTCATTGCACACTACATGGTGTTGTCTATTTTCATTAGCCCAATTAGGTGCAGAAAAGTAGGTTGAAGAACTCCATTTTTTTTTCACTTCCTTGTTTATTATGTATAACCTAATTATGGAGTTTTTTGTACTTAAATAGAACTACATTACTAATTAGTCAACCCTAATAAGTTAATTCTGACTGAATTATATCACAGGCTATGGAAACACTGACAATAATAGTAGACAACTCGGGTGAATTTTTAATGAAGAGAGTTGTGAAAAACATCTGTCCTGTCATCAAACAGTTTTTATACAGTCAGGCTAAAATCAGGTAATTAATCACATTGTTCTTAACGATCTTGTGAAATTAAGAGTTGCTTCTCAAAGGGATAGTCCTTTTGATGGGACTATAAATTGGGCCTCGTTGTGCTACAGGCTTTACATTTTAAAGATGGGTTTCCTTATATTTTAATCTCAAATTAAGCAAACTTTTTTATTGATTTGTGTTTCTAATGAATTATCATGTATCCTTAATCATATCATTATGTTCTTACTGTATATAATTAAGAGTTTTAACCAATCATTGTATGTACAGTCTGGATAAACAAAAAAAATACTTTTTGACCTTTCTTGATCGGTCACCTATGGGAATTCTGCTGGTAATTCTCTTCTAATTTAGCTAATTATGAACTAATTATGGACGTGTGAGAAAAACTGGTATTTTGCCAAGTCATTAGTACACCTTTCCTCTCTATCCTTAAAATAACAGCATTTTCATTTTATTAATGAAAATAAGGGAACCCATCTTTAAATTAAGAGATGGTTCTTAAGTGTCTCCTTGTAACCAATATTTTCAGTAATACGATTTGTTATTATATTCTATCCTTGATCATTTTCCCTTTTTGCACACTGCATGGCATAGAATGTCTTTAGAAGTCCCACAATAGTAGGACACAAAACATCCATGACATCCCTAAAATTTTATTGAACTCATCCACACATGCATAATTCTTATCAATATCCAACTGTATAGGTTGTAATTGGAAGAGCTCATTTCTAAAAGTAAAGGGGTTTTCTGCTGCTGCCTTGCCAAATACGTTTTCTGTGATAGGGATCCTGATTATTAAACCCCTGTATCTCTATTTAATGAATGACCAAGCCAATTCAAACCTCTAAAATCTTTCTGAACTTGCCACCAATTTTATCATGAGAACTGGCAATCTGCATGGAAGGAGTTTCAATATTTTGTAACTAATTTTTTTTTCCAATACCATAAATGGACATGATCTTTGGAACTGTCTGAGAAAAACAGAATTTTAATGTTTGTTATCTTACAAAATCAATGTTTTCACTTAAAGATATGAAATATTTCTAGAACATTGAGATAGTTATAGCATGAATCAATGTAAACCTTGGCACTAGGGTTGTTTACAGTCTGCATACCTTAGTTTGTTTACAATGTCTACCCTTTAGTTGACACAAATGTAAACATAAAGTGGGTACAGGCTTATAGAAAATGATAATAAAGAGCTTGTTTACAATGTCTACCCTTTAGTTGACACAAATGTAAACATAAGTGGGTACAGACTTGTAGGAAATAATAGTAAAGAGTTTGTTTACATTTGCTTGTTTACACTGTCTACCCTTTAGTTGACAAATGTAAAGATAGCAGGTACAGACTTATAGGAAATAATAGTCAAGAGTTTGTTTACATTGTCTACCCTTTAGTTGACACAAATGTAAACATAGCGGGTACAGACTTATAGGAAATAATAGTCAAGAGTTTGTTTACATTGTCTACCCTTTAGTTGACACAAATGTAAACATAAGTGGATACAGACTTAGAGGAAATAATAGTAAAGAGTTTGTTTACATTGCCTACCCTTTAGTTGACACAAATGTACACATAAGTGGGTACAATTATATATGAAATTATAGTGAAGAGTTTGTTTACAATTTCTACTTTTAGTTGACACAAATATATTACTTGCCCCTCCAGATATATGCCCCTCCAGATATATTACTTGCCCCTCCCGATATATTACTTGCCCTTCCAGATATATTACATGCCCCTCCAGATATATTACTTGCCCCTCCAGATATATTACTTGCCCTTCCAGATATATTACATGCCCCACCAGATATATTACTTGCCCTTCCAGATATATTACATGCCTCTCCAGATATATTACATGCCCCTCCAGATATATTACTTGCCCTTCCAGATATATTACATGCCCCTCCAGATATATTACATGCCTCTCCAGATATATTACATGCCCCTCTAGATATATTACTTGCCCTTCCAGATATATCACTTGCCCCTCCTAATAATCAAGTTTGGCTATGGACCTCATGAGTAGAAACAACTGAAAATGGATAACAGCAAACCCAAAAACTGACACACCTAGATCAGGCTGAGACTGGAAACATTAGATAATAAGTCTACTTTCAAACTAAGATAATCGCAAAAACTGTCATAAATATGATTCAATAATTACAAGTAAGGTTTTATTTACTTAAACGACAGCTAACAATGGCAGGGATTCACTAATTGGTTATTTTATATTCAGTAATTTTTATCTGACTTGAATCCTCTGAGAAAAAACATGTTTCAGGTTCTGTTTTAATATTTTGAACTAGAAACTAGAAACATTGCGATTAGACTACAGCTTGATTTTTGGTCTTGAAAATGAAAGTAAGTCATTGATGGTGAGGAACTTGAATTTGATTGGATTCTTTAGGAACTGGTGAAGATATTTTGACCAATGAAAAGTAATGTCTTAAATGCAGCATCTTGTAACTTTTAAAAGAACACTTTTCATTGGTCAAAATTTCTTCAGAATCACATTAAATAGTCATAGAAATTCTTCTACAACCAACAATAACTTCCAAAGCATTTACAGCCATGTGAAATTTACGACTTCAAAAAGTAAGGAAAATGTCAATATCTTTCCTTGAGCAACCTTTTAAGATAATGTTTTTCTTAGATTTCACAGAATTTATCATGTTAGATTTTTTATATTTATTCAAATTGTCTGTTTCTGTAGATTAAATTCGTTGTTCGAGACCCTCCAGCAGTGTATGACAGTTGACGTAGGTTTTCGTGATATTTAATTTCTAAGGTTTTGTTTCAATTAACATTTAAAGGAAGGGTTAAGTCTAATTCTGTATTTTTACTATTATCTGTTTGGCAATCTGAATTAGTATCAATTATTTCAATCTGAATTGGAATTGGAATAACGGTAATAAAAGTCTGAAAATTATTTCCCGCTGTGGGTTCCGATCACGATCAGCATTTGAAAGTTGGATGACCCCGAATAAGTCAGCTTCACTCATAATTCCAGTTGACCCAGCTGTAAATAGGTACAGATAATCCAGGAAAGATCAATACCAAGAGGATTGGCCAGGGATCAGCTGGTGGAAAGATCCTTAATTGTAAACCTAGGTTGTTATCCTTGTTAAATATAGTTGTTTGAGGTAACGAATACAGCATTAGAGTTAAAGATGGGTTTCTTAGTGTCAAATTAAGCAAAGTATTTGATTAATTGATGTTTCTAATGAATTATGTATTCTTAATCATATCATTTTGTTCTTATTAAATATAGTAAAGAGTTTTTACCAAAAATAAATGTCTATGTATGTACAGTCTGGATAAACAAAAAAGTACTTTTTGACCTTTCTTGATCGGTCACTCATTGCTGGTGGTAATTCTCTTCTAAGTTAGCTAATTATGAATTAATTATGGACATGTGAGACAAACTGGTATTTTTCCAAATCATTAGAACACCTCTACTTTCTATTTGTACAAGTATTAGCATTTTCATCAATGAAAATAAGGGAATCCATCTTTAAGAACTCTAATTTTGACTGGTCAAGGACAAGGCTATAATATGCCTGTAAATCATAAATTGCAAATTAGCTTTATCATTTCCTTTAAGAATATAAATTCTTTCTAAGAACACAAGAACACAGACGTGTTTGTTTAAACTTCGATCTAATTCATATGTCTTTTGTTTGAGATTCAGAAGTAGGCATGTTGTTCAAGACTTCAAGACAGAACTAATTGAAATTACACAATGCTCTGACAATTCATAAAAGATTTATTGAAATATTTTCGATTTCTTCTAAATGTCTTGGTAAAGAATTAAGATTTCATACTTTTTATCTTATCAAGACTTTTGATTCGAAACATACACAGAAGTAGTTTCTAGCCATTTATTTATTTATTTATTTATTTATTTATTTATTTATTTATTTATTTATTTATTTATTTATTTATTTCCATTCTATTCCACTCCTTCATTCATTCATTCAAAAGTAGGTCACTTTCTTAGTAAAAAGTCCACGACAGATTTTTGTATTATTTTGTTTTTCAGTATGAAAAGTGGAACTATGTATTCATATACTATCAACTATAAACTTCAATTAGTTTATTTACAATCATTGGGACACCTGGCTTATATGGTATGTGTCTGAATAATAAACAGCAGTTTACTAATCAACTAGCATTTCATTGGTTGACATTCTTTTAAAAAAAAAACATTCTGCCTCATGTTATATTGTCGGATCATGAGTGAAAGAACTATCCCCTTCACCTTTATTAGAGGGAAGTGAGCAATTGAATGAATTAGTTAAATTTTTTTAATGAACTCACTACTTTAAGAAATGTTGTCAGATCATGAAATGGGTGAAGTGACAATCTCTCTTATTAGTTGAATTTTTTTTTGGAAAGAACTTACTACTTCTAGCAATGTTGTCGGATCATGGAATGAGTGATTTAAGCATCCCCTTTACTTCAATTGAACTAAAAAGTAACCATTTTCTCTTATCTGATTAGTTGGGTTTTTTTAGCGAACCCACTTTTATTTGTAATGCTGATGGATCATAGAATGGGTGAAAGAACCATCCACCTCCTTTCCATTAGGGCTAAGGCTTTAACTAAAACAAACAGCAATTGAATTGATAAGTTGAACTTACTCCTATTAGTAACATTGTCAGATTATGGATTAGTGAAGTATTCATCTCTCTTTATCGTTTCTAGTTAAAGCTACAGTCATATGATTTAGATGTTCTGGTATCTAGCTGTCTACCTTATCTTAGCTGTCATCAACACATAGCCTTACAACAGGTATATATTATATTACTTTATATTGCCATGCTTTTCATTGGTCAAAATATCTTCATATCTCATAGCTTCTATTATCCTGTCCCACTTTGTCTAAGCATTGATGCTTTAATGACAGTAGATGTCTGGGTGTTAGAGACTATTAAAGATCATTTGAGGATGAATCCAGGTTCTTTCCAAATTTATTTTTAAAACGCCCCTCAATGCATACTGCAAGGTATTATTTCTCTAGTTCAAAGTGGTTCAAACCCATAGCACGTCTTTTTTTTGGTTTTTTTTTTCAGGCATGTTTAAAGACATTTAACTATCTGGTAAAACTAGACAGTGATATTGTATGGTTAGCTTTATATAATATCTACAGAGTGACAACTATAACACCACCCTCTACCCTATTTAAACACTTAATAGTGAGTATAACTTGCTGGGGCGTATCTTGAAAGGGGTGGGGAAAAATGAGATGTGTCTCTATGGCCAGTGGGCAGTGGCCCCCGGAACCCGACAGATTTCAGAAGGGTTTGAGCTTCTAAAGGGCTGTATTTTCACTTCAAAATAAGACCTATAACAGGCCTGAGGGAGAGGGAAAGGATCATGACTGAGGAAAGTTACTCTGCTTATGTTATAAGGCCGTTTGCGATATTGATGTCATAAAACACTTAGTGGATTTGCAGGAACCACAGACATCTGATTGAAAATTGGAATGGTGCAAATTGATGATATCAGTGTCAGCGATACCCATAAAAAGGTTTTAAAAAATTCTCGAAAATCTCTACTGTGATTTAATATTAGTTATTATGATTTCAGTTGAAAGGAAGTGAGAAAGATAACAATGAATATAAAGAAAATGTAAAGTTGTTAATGTTATCCATTGATAATAAAATATAATAAAATTCATTATCTTCTAATCCTGTTTATAGAAATTTTATATTTTATAATTATGCTTAGCAAGGTAACTTACTCCGGCCTTGCAGGGTGGTCAAGTTTGCTCAAGATCCAGGATATAAATAATAAATATTGATATATAAAAATATAGTATGGATACCCTTAGTTACAGAGAACTTCACTTTGTTACAATTAGTAAGTAATTGTGTTTAGAATAACAAATCAAATATGGATGCCCAAAGCCACAAAGATCTTGTCACCGTAGATAATTGTCTGTGTTTAGAATGGCAAATCTAATATGAATGCTCTAAGTTACAGAGAACTATGCTTGCTGCAACTAAGGTTTCTGTGTTCAGAATGACAAATCTAAAATGGATGCTCTATGTTACTGTGAACTCTTCTTGACTCAATATATATTTTTCTATGTTAGAGTGACAAATACTTTATGGATTCCAAATGTTACTGAGAACTGTTTTTGGTGCAACCCAGGTTTCTGTGTGTAAAATTGTAAATCAAATATGGATGCTCAATATAACAGAGAATCTATTAGGGATGCTCTTTGGCACAATAGAAAGTTTCCGTGTTCAGAATGTTCTAAATGTCTTGAATTCAAAGTTTATCAAAGTGCGATATTCCATTGGTTATAGTTATTTGTGTTTGGTATGACAAGTCCATTGTGAATGCTTTTTGATACCGAGACCTGTTCTTGACTCAATAGATGGTATCTGTGTTCAGAATGTTCTAAAAGACCCTTGAATTCAAATTCCATCAATATGTGATATTCCACTGGGAGTAGTTTCTTGTATCCGATAATTCACTTCCATTTTAATTTTCGTTTGTTTCAATGCCATTCAAAGAATTGCAGAATAAAACACAATGTTTTAATATCCGAATGAGTTAAAAACATTGTTATTACGCTAAAGGTACCCTTACACTATAGTCATCACCCATTGTGTATTTTGCGAATAAGAATAGAGGTCCTAAGTTTCGAACGTAACTCTCATGCAACTGAGTTGTGTGTTGCGTTCGTTACTCATTGACCACTGTTATAATTCGCAACTGGTGATCGCTTTGGTGTGAGGCACCTTTAAAGGGATTGTGTCTATATTCTGTAAAACCGATAAAATATGTATGTTAAAGGGGAACAGTCGGCAGGGATTGTTTTAGGTCTTGAATGTTCTTTAATAGTCTTAAGAAGTACTAAAACGCACGAAAATCGCATAATCCCTTCAAATATACCTCAAACTAGAAATTTCACTGTCTATTTCTAGATATGTGTTTTCTATATATGGCATAGTCTGACTGAAATGAGTCGTGAACACTATCATTGATTATGAAAGCTAAAAAAAATTCCTGTTTCTGAAACTAAGGTATGATTGGTCGAATGGATAGTCAAGGTGTTCTTTTACATCGACAGTTGATAATCGAAATGATCTCTATCTTGTCAAATTCCTTATGTATGATTGATATATTTACTCACGTGAAAAGTTCATTGGGTGCTAATAATGTTTACATTCCCGAAGCTACATCCCCACCCCCGAAAAAATGGATCGATCCCCTGAAAAAATTCTGAAAATCGATCAAGTCCATTACTGCAACTAAACGCCATACACCATTGCCCCCTCCGTATATATTACTTGCCCCTCTGGATATATTACTTTCCTGTCCGGATATATATCACTTGCCCCTACGGATATATTACTTACCCCTCTGGATATACTACTTTCCCTTCCGAATATATTACTTGCCCCTCTGGATATATTACTTTCCCGTCCGGATGTATATCACTTGCCCCTACGGATATATTACTTACCCCTCTGGATATACTACTTTCCCTTCCGAATATATCACTTGCCTCTCTGGATATATTTCTTGCCCCATCCGGATATATTACTTGTCCCTCCGGATATATTACTTGTCCCTCCGGATATATTACCCCCTCCGAATTTCTAACCTAGTTATAAGATTTTTGCCCGAAAAATTCCCCCTTGAACCCCTTGAATATTTTTCTTGATACAAGAAAAATGGCTTTTGAAGTCAAGGTATAAGACGAAAATGATCTTCTTCTTCTCACCTCTCTTATCTGCGGACCTGTTTTTAGGCGTACATATTAAGTAAGGTACAGTCCTGTAAGCGTGAAACTCTTTTCATTTTATTCTGACGTCTGCTAGGAAGATTGAATGACGGGAGAAATTACTCTATAAATAATGCATTATATTAAGTGTGATCGATCAGCGTGACTAAACGCTAGGATTTCTGAATGGTGTCGTCTGCTGGACAAATATATACAAATTTACATATCATTAATAGACTTGTTCAGATTGTTACTGAATTAATTTTAGAATTGGACCTGAATGAGATCATAAGTAGAACATCATCCTCACCCCCTGACCCTAGTGTATACAAATAGAAAGCAGAAAGGGGGTGGGGGGTATCTAAAAAAATTTCTATTCGGCTCCATCCCTACAGGGGCCATTCTTCTTTTTTGTAAAATATTTTCATATTTTCATTATCAAAAACGTCGTAAATCATACCTAAAAATATTTCTAAAGTATGTTATTTATATCTATGTATCAACTTGATCAAACTGAATTTGTTTTAGAAGGGTTAATTTAAAACTGAGAGTACTAATGGTTAATGAAGCAGTTTGAACTAGTTTCGATGATTAGCTTTGTAACAGCTCGTTTTATTTAGTTGAAATCTTTAGAAAACAATTAGGCGTTTATTTTATGCTCTCCTGCATTCTGAGACTCCTCTGTACGTCAATTTAATGCCTGTCGATGGAAGATTTCTGGGAGCGGGGGACCCTCAGGGGTGGGGCTCGTGGACCCGTGGTAGTGAAGCCACTCAGTACGAGATGAGCTCTAGTCAAGATCTCTAAGACTTATCAAGTACAAGTGTGTATAATTTAAGAACAATATTTCGAACCAATCATATGATAGCGTTATTAATTTCTATGGTAACAGCACAATCAATATATATATATATATATACAAATGCTAGTATATCCTGGAGATTTGGAACTCTTGGAGTCTGCATACTGATTGGAACTTATCTATTCCTGACACTGTAGAATATCAATCATGTTAGACTTCGGTCGCAACTATCAGGAATTAATGGAATAAATTGGAACTTTTTTAAAATTTTAATGAAATAAAGGTAATGCTAACTTTTTAACATTTTTTGTAGAGAAAAATAGGGGGGGTATGGCATTTAATGGCTGTAGTTGAAATGAAATAAAAAACTTTTCTTAGTGTTTCTTTGTTTTGTTTGGTGGAGGCGTTTTTTTTACCATTTTCGCTACATCGAACTTTTTGAAAATTACAAATTTTACAAAGATTTTATTTTTCCGACAAAATTGGAAATCTAATATCAAAATTTTCAGTTTTACAAATTTAACAAATAACGGGCCTTCCTTTCCAAAAATTATGGACTTTTTATAAGTTTTTGTAAATGTTTAGTGGACTTTTGTAAATGTTTAGTGGACTTTTGTAAATGTTTAGTGGACTTTTGTAAATATTTAGTGGACTTTTGTAAATATTTAATGTTTAGTGAAAAAGTTTTCTCAATAATATTATTAATCTTACAAAAATTAGTAAAGATTTTTTTCTTTATTCATTTCATGTGACCTTGGCCAGTGCCTCTCGAAATTTTTTCTATATAACCCAATATTGCTAATCCTCTTTGATTAGAATAAAAAGTAATTAAGACTTGTAGTTTATTAATAAACCAACACAGACGGTAATTAAAAAAAAACGGCTTAGCAGTAGATATAACGAGAGGAATAAACCTGATGCCCATGATGTTTTCTTTGATAAGTGTTACAGGTTGTTGTTTTTTTTAACCGAATGAAATGTATTTCTAAATTATTTTAAATATTGTAATTTCTGGACATCTTTCCTTAAGCACGGTGGTAATTGTGAGTGGAAGAAATGTAGTCCTTTGTGTAAACTAAGAGAGCTGAAGACGTGGACCAAAGTTTCCTTCTAAATAGAAAGACTGATTTCGTTCTGTTTTCATTTCATTTACAAAAGTGGCGTATAAAACAATCATTTGGATTGTGTTTAAATGTAATGTTAACACTACTACCTGTGATTGAAGTCTCCGATAAAAGAAGACCTCCATTAATATTTGACGAAACTAGCGATTAACCGCGATAGAAGTATAAAATGTCACATTCTAATCAGCCTAAAAGAAAATAAAACATGCTATCTCGTTTTTCTCCAGCAACGGTGCTAGATGTGGATAATCATGGTACCGTTGCTGAAGAAACATGATGATATCTGGGCTCCGAGGACTGATTGCGATACACCGTCATATCTATGGACGGGGCAACAAAAATGCAGAATTAGACGATGTAGAGAAAGGGGCGAGTAAAATAATAGGCACATTCAGTTTGAGGCACATGTATTGAGGGATAAAGGGGGAAGGTACTACAGTTACTGGTGGGTTGCACAAGATATTAGTGGTTGATCGTAAGTGTACCAGTGGGCTGTACGGGTTACCGAAGGGCTGTACGGGTTACTGATGGGATGTACGGATTACTGATGGGTTGTACTGGCTACATGTTAGTTGTGCGGGTTACTGAAGGGTTGTACGGATTACTGATGGCTTGTACTGGCTACGTGTTAGTTGTGCGGGTTACTGAAGGCTTGTACAGGTTACTGGAGGGTTGTACGGGTTACTGATGAGATTTACGGATTACTGTTGGGATGTACGGATTATGTACGGGATACGGGTGTGTTGTACTGGATACTGATGTGTTGTACGGGATACTGATGTGTTGTACGGGTTACTTATGGGTCGTACAGACGTATAGTATACCAAGCTTTGTTTTTATATTTTAGGAATTGTGTTAAAATGGTAATATTTCGAAACAATTCGTTTTGTGACGGGGTACAGACCAATAGCGTGAACGTTACAACGTTACTTCATATCCAAGCTGGCATACAGTCATGGGAAGCACTCATCATTATTCTATTCTCTGGGATTTTCGCTTCGTTTATGGCCTGGGGCTTCAGTTTTATTAGAAAATACGTTTACAATGATAAAGTGAGTATTTGTTAGATTTTTTCTTTTCTTCTTTAAAGGGATTGTAAAGAGGACTTTGTATGTATATCGAGGACACTGATAGCATCAATTTGCACCATTCCAATTTTCAATCAGACGTCTGTGGTTCCTGTTATTCCACTAAAACTAAGTGTTTGATGACGTCATTAATCGCGAAGGGCCTCATGTGATAGAGCATAATTAATAACGGCATCAAACACCAAGTTTAAGAGGAATTGCAGGAAGCAAAAACGTCTGATTGGAAATTAGACTGGTGCAAATTGATGTCCCCGATACACGCACAAAATTTAGAAACCTTTTTACAATCCACTTTTTTGAAAGTCTAGTTACATAATTTTTAACTACACATTTTGATTTCAAGTATATTGAGAGTCAACAGTATTCAGAGCTAATTAAATGATTCATTTTCATCATTTTTTATCAGTGAATTTTCAGTGTTTATTTTTCGTAAATCGTTTTTTTTAATTTTCGTTAATTATTTTTTCAACTTGTTTTATACACAGTCATCATTATTTTTAATGATTAAGTTTCATTTTTCATGAATGAAGTTTTTACTATTTTTGTATTCAGTATTATTTTTAAGTTTTTTTTTTAATTATATTTTTATGTCTACCAATTTTTTTTTTTTTTTTTTTGACTTTTTCATCCTGTAATTGTAGAATTCGCTGGATACGTCGTTTGATGCAGGTGGTAAGGTGAATGTCGGTTTGACTGCTACGACTATTGTATCCCAGTGGACCTGGGCTGCTACACTACTCCAGTCATCTACTGTGGCCACCAAGGTACCGATTCGTGTTTTTTAATTAAATGAATGATTCAACGAATGAATGAGCGAATGGACTAATGGCGAATGGGTGATTCAATAAATGAATGATTGAATGGATGAATGGGTGACGAAATGAATGAATGAAGAAATAAATGAATGAATGAAAACGAAGGAACGAAGGAACAAATATACGAATGCTTGGCGATTAAACCTATCATGGAATAGATACGATAAATTCAACAAAATATTAATTAATAAATGAATGAGGGAATGAATATCTCAGTCAGTAATGTGCTCGATGTTAAGTTAAAAAAATTCAATGCCTCGAATGTCAACATTCAACTTGAATTCCACTTTCCATGTCATTGTCCTGAAACTTACATCTGGTCTTTAGGGTTAATGAGATATCAAATCGAGTTTAAAGACTGTATAAATAATAGAATTTTATAATGGTGTTTTCCATAAAAAAGAATTCCCTATAGCTTGTGACAATTAGTTTGGTAACTATGTGTTTTGTGTTTTATAAGCCTCATACAATTAGCAGAATAACCCCCAGGCTACACACCCAGTCTCAAAGTCAGATTTGTGAACCGACATTAACCGACATTCAGGTCCAGAGTAACATAATTCTCTCCAAGACATCAGATAAAAGCCATTTCAATCAGTCGATAGCATCACGAAATTCCCAGTGGATAGGTCATGTCTGCTTGTCATCAGATTCAAAACCAGACTGATAATAGTAATAATGCATGTAATAGTAATGATAATGATGACGATGATGATAATTATAATAATGATAATAGTAATAAAACATGTAGTAATAATGATAATGATAACGATGATAATAATGATTATAATGATAATAATAATAATAATGATAATAATTAAAAAAATGATACTAATAATGATAATAGTAATACTAATAATAATAATGATAATAGTAATACTAATAATAATAATGATAATGGCGATGACGATGGTAAATGATGATGATGGTAATAGAAATAATAATGATAAAAGTAATAATACATGTAGTAATAATGATAATGATGATGATGACAATAATGAATAATAATATAGTAATAATAGTAATAATAATAATAATAATGGCGATGACGATGGTAAATGATGACGATGGTAATAGAAATAATAATGATAAAAGTAATAATACATGTAGTAATAATGATAATGATGATGATGATAATAATGATAATAATGATGATAATAATAATGATAATAATAATGGTGATGACGATGGTAAATGATGATGATGGTAATAGAAATAATAATAATAATAGTAATGATAATAATGACAATAATTATAATGATAATAATAATAATAATAATAATAATAACGATGATAAATTCTGATGATGATAATAATGATAATGAAAATAATAATAATAATGGCGATGACGATGATGAGTTTTTAAATCGACCGTTTATGACTCCGAGAGTCAACACAGAATCTCAAATTACCACCCTTCTTTGTGACACCAACGCAATCGATTGATTGAATGTATATCAAGCTAACTAACTGTGTAAGTTTCAAATAGAGATACATAAAGGATTTTGAATTACCTTTCCTTTGAAGCTAGAGATTTAAAGAGAAATTAAGACCAACATCTTAGCATTAAGCTTAAATTAATTCAAAATGATGTGACCCCGCACTCCCTCCAATTAATTAGCTAAATTAGAAGAGAATTACCAGCAGAATTCCAGAGTGACCGATCAAGAAAGGTCAAAAACTCTTTTTTGTCTATCCAGACTGTACATACATGGACATTTATGATTTAAGAAGTAGTTGGTTACAATGTATTGATATTCCAATGGGTGACTAGACACCCCCACATCCTCCCCCTCTCCTCTGTCTTTTGAAATAACTTGATATAATAGTTTAAGAATAGTTGCAGCTTGCACAATCCCGATGAGATAGTTAAAATTCTGCCTGCAACCTCTGACTCTTTTAATAACTTATTTCAGTTGTTTAATTGATAAACGAAATATGAATTAATATTGCACCATGTAGAATCGAGATAGGATATCTTTCAATTTCTGTTTTGTTCTCGCAGTGTCAAATGAATAGCTTACTAGCTTCTGGGTTTAATTCTCAATATAACTATTTATTATACACACATTTGTGTCCGCTACAGCAGTGATTACTTTCTGTTAAACATTAATCCGAGACCCACTGACTCATGTTTGGCTTCTTTGCAATCTGACCATAGAATACATTGGCCCAAAAACAGTTCTCTGTACCTATGAACACCAATTTAAGACTGGTATGGGCTGATATGACCACATGTATAAACAACATCGATTTAACTTACCTAATCGTGCGATGAGATAGCTATGTTTGGTCATATTTTGAACGTGTATTGTGGAAGTGATATTTGTTTGTATAAATGAATCAAGTGCCAACGATCCGAACCGCAAAACAAAACCCGAAATCCAAACAACATCCTTGCAAAACATTAGTAGCAGCTAATGAAATTTTCATATGAGGAAATATATCAATAATAAGTGAGTACGTATTTCACAATAAAAGTGGTATCAGGTGTCTAGAAGAGTAAGCATACCCTGTCTGGATAATTCTACTTTAAACATGTATGAGAGATTGTGCGTATGAAAGTATGACAAATCTGTATGAATCTAACTACCTCGAAATAGGCCAGGTAAGACCTTCACTCGGACTATATGATGAAGCATGTCGATTTGTAAGGAAAGGCGGAATTAAAATATCAAATAATTTTCCCTACGGCCATGATAAGGACTTGATGAACTTTTTATCTTTTTGATTTATGGATTTTATATCTGAAATTAAAGAGAAATTAAATGAAATGAATTGAGCTTAACACCTTTTCTGCACCTTATTGATCTAAACGGGGACGCCATGTAGTGTGCAATGGAGGAAATTTACTCAGGATATCGGCATAAGACTGTTCTTTTTCGATTTCCAACTGTCAATGGATCATTAACTTGTACATCCTGTACCACACAGAAGACACTTTTTCCATGCTAGCCCATCTTACCTGCATCACAGTCCAAGGTATCATCTCGACCTATGCCAGGATAAAGATAGGATAAAGATCGAGATGATCATTAAGCGCATCCTACAACTCTTAGTTGTTTTTGTAAACTGAATCTTCATTGGTAATGAAGGGAAAGAATCCAGGTATTTGACAAACGTAAATTACATGTGAGTAGGGCAAGGGCCATCTTTACAATATCAGACTAGTACGAAGATTGTGAAGATGGGCAAGGGCGTAAAACTCCTCAAAAAAACTTCTTTTCATTTCATTAACAAACTTGTCATTTTGTGTCGTTACAGTATGGAATCGGTGGACCATTTTGGTACGCAGCCGGGGCTTGCATCCAAATCCTATTGTTTTCCATGTTGGCAGTCCAGCTGAAAACTCGAGCCCCAGGGGCCAAAACTTTTTTACAAGTGATACGGGCCCGATTCGGAAAGACTTGTCATAAAGTCTTCTGCTGTTTTGCTTTGGCTACCAATATCATAGTAACATCTATGCTTATGTTAGGTAAGTTTAATTATTAGGCACCCACCTCCACAAGAGCTGCTAGCCCGTGATAAAAAGGAATTGAAACTCATTTTAGGGACAATCAATCAGACGTCCAACACTACGGTAGCCCAATAGTGACTTTATGTCTTTGAATTTCCAAACTAGAATACCAAAATAATAATAAAGCTTTGTAGACTCTGGACTCTACTGTAGTGTTGACAAAAAAAAGATGTTTACTCTCTAAAGGATTTCTAAATTGACAAACCGAAAAAGCACATTTTAAGCTATCCTGAATTGACAATTCTAAATACCAAATAAACGTTATAAGCTATGTGAACTCTCTGGCAATGATTTGACCAACTTAAGGACCTCTGTGGATATTATTTGTAGGAGGAGCTGCAGTGATAACCAGTTTAGTAGAGGGCATGAGTGTGGAGTATGCTACAATGTTAGTAGCTATGATTACTGGCGCTTATACTGTAATCGGGGGACTCGGAGCAACTTTTTATGTCTCCTACTTCAATACAGCTATAATCTACATCGTTACCTTGATATTTCTTACCAAAGTCTACCACGATGACGATGTCAAAAATCCACTCGGTAAGTAACTCTTTGTGATCTTCTCGTGGCCATCTGTAAAATGCTTTAGGAAGACTACATGAAACCAGTCTTCAACGTTTTGGTGGCCAACGGGTTCTAGCCTTAAATTTACCTTAACATTATTAGCCACTTTTCTTGTATCGTGGAAGTTTGTAAATGCGTTCATTGATTGGATTATACGCTGGCGAAAACAGCCAATCAGAGCCCTCGGTTTTTCTTTAAAACAAGTCTTGAAATATATAATGCAAGAAACAAAAATGTAAAAAAATCATACTTTCAAAAATGGAAATATTTCCTAAACGAGCCACCATAAACGTACGACAGATTCGTGATATTTTTCAGGAAGCGTAGAAAAGGTGTATAATCTAGTCTACTGTAATATGGCACCGGAAGGAAACCAAGAAAACAGTTATTTTACCATCATCTCCACTGAAGGTTTGATGTTTGGTATCATCAATATTATAGGTAATTATTTTTCTCTTTCATTCTCGACACAAGATTGATTATGGTGTCAGATTTAGGACTAGAATTCGATTTTGTTAGTATGCTATTTCTCGATGTAAAATTCCAAATTTAAGACAATTTTATTATGTCCCGGGCCAAAAAATCTAATGGTAATATTTTTCGTAAGTGTGAATTTTTACTGTGAGAAGTAGAACACATGCGACAATTTTTTCTTAAACTACACGTTTACCTCATTGTAAAAAACAATACCTTTCGTTTGTAATGCAGTGATTTGATGGGTTAATAACGATTCAAAATCATTTGAAGTGAATGACCAACCAGATGAAACTGATGCTAAAATTATCCATCGATCTGGTTTTCTGAATAAGGTCCTCTATTTATCAATTCTAGGTAATTTTGGGACAGTGTTTGTAGATCAGTCGTATTGGCAGAGTGCTGTAGCTGCCAAGCCTAAACAGGGCGTGGTGGGGTTTCTCTTGGGAGGAATGGCTTGGTTTGCCATACCGTTTACACTGTCCACCACCATGGGGTTGGCTTATGTTGCCTTAAGCACCAGACAAGGTCAACCGCTATTATCTGAAGCCGAAGTCGGTGCTGGTGAGTCTTTTGGTACCATTTTATTGCTTCATACTCTGTAGGACGTAAAACTCCGTTCAATTTCATATTAGAGCTAAATGATTGACAGGATGAACCTAGGTGATCATCCTTGTAAGGTCATTTGTTACTAAGAGGTTTGGTCAAAGGACCATCTGCTGGACAGGATCATCAAAACCTTGCTATACCAAACTCTTTGACAAAGGACCAGTTGGTAGAAGGATTATCGAAACATCATTTGTCATCCTAGTAAGACCTGTGCAAAAACAAAGGACCAGCTGATAGTCAGGATCCTCTAGAACCTAGGTTGTTTATTAATCATATTATTGTGTATTATTAGGTTTAGTACCACCAATAGTGGCGCAGTCATTACTGGGGAAATCGGGTGAATTATTGATGTTAGTGATGATAGTAATGGCCATCACATCCACTGGCTCGTCAGAAGTCATGGCTGTTACATCGATTTTAATTTTTGATGTTTACGCTCTTTATTTGAAGGTATGTTATGACTTAAAGCCTATATATACGACAGCTTTAAAACAACAATAACTGCGCTGTAGTCCTTGCTTAAATGATGTCATAAAGGAATGTGTTACTCTAGTACATAATATGGAGAGCAATAGGGCGTAAAACTCCACTCATTTATTTCTAGCCGTACAGACTGACCAACGACACCAACAGCTGTATTCTATGTGGTAAAAGCCGGGGTAGAATGGCGAACCCTAGAGACAAATGTAAATGTAATAGTATGACACACTGTTCCTCGTGTTACCAGGACGATAAGTAAGTATCTTCACCAATTTGTAAGCTCGCTTACTTTACTGTTGTACAATTTTGGTAAACCGAGTCCCATTTTCAATAAAGAGTGTCTTGATGAGGACTGATAATCAAAAACAATTATCGACAGCATGAGATGAAGCACTGGTGTATTTAGGTAGTGATTTTTGGGACATATCCCATCCTCCGGGCCGTAGCAGATGAAAAATTTATCATACTTGTACTTTCACTTCCAAAATCCAGTTAGGTATATTCCCACATATCGGGCCCCACCTGACCCCCCACTATGACTAGTGCCCTCCAAAATTCGCTAAGGGGCGCCAGATGCTCCAAGGTTCATGGAACTGCAACCTTTCAATATTGCTCTTCTTCTGATTTATTTTAAGAAACAGGGGTGATTGTAAACGAGCCATCAAACCAGACTATAAGTGTACCATCCACGGAAGCTACAGAGTCTATCTAGATTATTTAAATGGTCTCAAAAACTGGTGTCTTGTCATAGTATCCATCTGTATCGTGCCTTTAACTATATTACTCGACATCATCCAGGTGAGTATTTTTTTCAATTTTCCGTAGTTGTAGCATGGTAGCTTTAAATGGCTAAGAATTAGTTCATCCTTTTGCCTTTTCCTTCCGTTTTTGGTCCTTCCCCTGCTCTTTCCTCTCTTCGATTGCTTTATCACTAGTACAACTTTTCAGAAAAGAAAAGGGAAATCCAATCTCGTAGAATTCTTAATACCGAAAACAGTTTTTTTTTCAAATTTGGATTCAGGAACTGCTGCAAGTATGTTAATGTTATCTTCTCGCTGTTGGGTCTTTCAGTCTATCAGTTGATCTTCACAAGTGTTAAGTGGTTTTTATTATATATAATTGATCCAATTTAAATCTTGATGAATTTCTTTGGTGTTGTTCTTTTGATCTTCGTGTGGACTTATTAAAATACTGATACTTTCTTGCAGTCAATTAACTTACAAATGTTTCAAATGTTGAAGGGATATGGTCGTCTAAATATTTGCTTTTCCACCTTTAGACAACTGAATTGAGTTCTATCAGCTGGTAAACTAAATATTTAGACGACTATACAGATAGTTGAAATTGAACTTTATCAGCTGTTAAAGTAAATATTTAGATGACTATACAGATAGCTGAAATTGAGCTCTATCAGCTGATAAAGTAAATATTTAGATGACTATACAGATAGCTGAAAATGAGCTCTATCAGCTGGTAAAGTAAATATTTAGATGACTATACAGATAGCTGAAATTGAGCTCGATCAGCTGGTAAAGTAAATATTTAGATGACTATACAGATAGCTGAAATTGAGCTCTATCAGCTGGTAAAGTAAATATTTAGATGACTATACATATACTGAAACTGAGCTGTACCTTCTGGGAAAGCAATACATTTGTTGACTGTCTCCCTTTTCAACATAAAAACACATTAAGAGCGGTTTAATACTCTCTATTATATATCTTTGAAGTCTTATCACTAATTGGATTGTCATTTACAAGATTCCCTTTGCTCTCGTTTCACATAAAAGTTAAAAGTTGCGTCCCTTTTAAAATCGGATTTAGAAAAGAACAACAACAAAAATGCCTCTACATATATTCTTCTTTTGATATTACTAATGAATTTTCAGCACCAAACAAACTTTTACATCTAATCAGCATTGGATAAATTTTCTATTAAGTGACTCACTTAATGGTTAAGAATTTCACTATCACGTGAAACTTTGACTGACTGTCGTATCAGGAATACGGGTTTTGACAATGTCTTATGGGGGTGTGGTTTGATCACGATGACAGACAGCTAGCGTTAGGTAAGGTTAGGCTTTCGCTTACGGATTAACAATTTATCATACGTCATATCCTGTTTTGCAGTTGAACCTGGGATGGGTGTATCTGTTCATGGGCGTCCTGATCGGAAGTGCTGTGATACCCATATCTTTATCCATGTTCTGGAACCGACTTACAGGAATCGGAATGGTCTGTGGCAGTTTATCTGGCACCATACTGGCGCTAATAGTTTGGATGTCGGTAGCTTCACTATATGAAGGAGGCCTCGGCGATTTTCTCATTAATACAGGTAAATTAACGAAATGTGGACTCTTTTAAATTCCCTGTATGACTTGCCATCCCCTGTTGTTGTACTTTTGGAAGAAGGGTTGTAGCTAAGTCGCTTTGAACGCTTGTAATATAATGACGTCATTTGACATAATACGTAAGTTAAACTTAAGTCCTATATTTAAGGTAAAGAAATCCCAATGTTATGTGGTAATTTAACGTCTATATTAGCTGGTGGTTTAATCACAGTTGTAGTGTCGCTTATCACTAACCGCCATTACGACGCCATGTTGGGCCGGGAGATCTGGGAAACAACACGTGACATCGATAATCCACTCAACCCGTGGACGGAAACATTCGCCAAGTGAGTGAAAAATTTGTTTTGAGTTTCTTTGTTGATGCATTTGCTTTACTATGTGCTAGAGCTAAGACTCGGTATTACTTTTTAATATTCAATTCTGACATCGGGTTCGCTAAAAATGCAACAGAATAGTAGAAGTTTAGACGCCGTCACTACCAGTCGTGAAACCACTTGTCTAAATAAACCTATATCTAACATTCTCTCGGATTGAGTTTGATCACAACCTCGTTCCTTTTTGTTTTATTATACTGAGCCTAAATTGTATAAATTAAAGAAAGCGACATTTCAAAATTGATATCCCAGATCGAATTCCCCCCATCTTGGACATTTTATAATGTCTTTTTTCCAGGGAGTTAAATCTTAGCGGAGCTCATCAGTTAGACAACCGACCCTCCTTAGAAGAAGTCACCAATACTTTTAAATATGCAAGATATTTAGCTGTCGGAGGTTCTCTAACTTTAACCGGCTCCCTGATATTCCTCTGGCCTTCCATAATGGTAGCTGTCGAAGTTATGGACTTATCAGGCTTCTCGAACTGGGTAAGAATGCTATTGGCACTTCTGTAGAGGGCCATGTATACCTTGCATTTACAGGACTGCAAGTTTATCTAAGAAATATTGGTCGTAAAACCATTGTCCCAAGCACAATCTGCTGATCTGTTAACATGTATACTATAGTTGTATGGTCTAATCGCATTCTGACCACAGAAAACTGTCATTGGTCCAAGCACAATCTGCAAGCTAATTATACACGTTTGGTATGTTCTAGTCCCATTCTGACCACAGGAAGCTGTCATTGTGTCACTACGCATGTCTTGTGTTGTTAACATATACAGTATCTTTCCAGGTCGCTTTATCGGATGTTTGGGCATACCTGGCCACCGTCTCTATGATAGTTATACCTCTTATAAACGAAATTTATGATGTCTTTCATGCTTTGAAGTCCAAACAGCAGCGTATTTCAACTCACGACGAACGTCTCATAGACGTAGAAAAACATGTGAAATCTAGAAATAGTTTAAATTCCAGTTCGCCGCGCTTAAAAAAACCTCACGAAGACAATATGTGTATTAATACTATTGAAAAAATAGACAAAACTGACGAAGCGTCACCAGGAAACCCGTCCACAAACAATCATAGTGCTACCTCTTTAAGAATAGACGAAGAAACGAATAGTGAACTTCGTGTGACGTCTGGCTACATTATTCCTGAGGACACGCCCGAGTCCAAAAGGACGAATCAGACCTCGCCAATATTTGATTAATATTTAAGGTTAGGTATAAAGCTGTGAAAGCGACACCGGTTCGACTCTTGGAAGGACTGATCGTGGCTGATGTTTCTTACCTTCAGAAGGATTCGAGCCCACGGTACCTTATGGCCTAACAGACAACAATCCAACTAGCTACCAACTGAGCCATTTCACAGCCATAAAACGACAGTGTTCCAACACAGTGTCCTAATATTCCATATATTATAATTCGTCCACAGATGAAGGTGAACCTAAGGTGGTCCATGATCTCAAGCCTAAGTGTATTATAAGATTATTGATGGTCAGTAAGTAATAAATCAGAGCCAAAGAAATCCGACCAAAATGTGATCTAGCTTTAAATGATAATGTTGCGAATATACGAGGCACGGTGTCAAGTTCGATTACCGATACAGTAAAAACCGTACCTCGTGTATTCACCTCTACACTTTTCAACTTTATCGATAATGCCGCACCGAACACCTCACTGTACACCTCGTTTATTCGCCTCTTTAATCGTATATGTATCGTGAAATAATCACCCTGATAATCTCCTCAATCTTAATTTACCAAAGAGCAGCATGTAAAATGTTCAAAAAATGTTGCAGATTGAGCTGTGCTCAGTGTTAAAATAACTAAATGCCAAAACCCGGAAGATATGTCCAGTGTAGTTAAATAACCGCATTGACTCATCAAGAAGTATACAGTGAACTCCAGAGATATGGTGAATAGAATTGTCTACAGACTGTCTATGAGGACACTTAAACCAGTACAAAATCGGTAACCTTCATCCTTCTTTCCTACGTGGAAAGGGTCACTGTTCTGTAATTTTTTTCAGTTTTTGAATATGACAAGTTCTCGTGAAGTTGATGGTTGATCAGTTATTTCTTTTGAAACGGGCTACTTAATATATTTAGATAAAATGAAATAACGTTTAGTGGAGTTTTACGTTGGCATCTTCTGCAGATGGAAGGGAATATAGAACTTGAAGTTTTGCGCTCTTTTTTTATAAATTGTGTTGTGTATACCTTGTATATAAATAAATATGGTCCAAATCATTTAAGTATGTATGTATGTATGTCTGTATCAATAATCTTAATAAAGCAATGTACATAATATATGTTGAATTATTTTCTAGTTGGCTTTTCGAGCGAAGTCGCTGAAAGTAACGTGACTTAAATAGACGTTTGTCAAAATCAACATTTCTATGCGGCAGTTGGTATTTAAAGGGGCTGCTTATTTACTTAGTATATTTTTAGTTAACAACAAGTCTAACAGAAGAGTTTTAGATTATAGGGTGTAATTGTGGTAAAGGAATTTTTACGAAAGCACAGGCATGTAGGCATAACCCCCAGTTAGAGTATATTGTTTGTGCAGTCGGGGTGATACTTTGTGAGTGATTTCATGTACTTACATGGCCCCTTTAACAATAAGCAGCATCGATATTTTTATATTTTTATCGGAACTGAAAGAACTTCCATTAGCACCTACAGAAAATATAACATACAATTTTAGGTTTTTGATGAAAATTATTGAACAAATATGATTTATTTTGCTCTTTTAAAGAAATCAAAAGAAATGTATAAACAATTTAAAAGATTTGATATGAGAACTGAAGTGATTGTAAGAATTTTTCGCATAAAATATTGAACATGAGAACGTGCACACTCATCATTCGTTGAAATCGTTTCTCAAGGAAATCATAACAAAGTCATAAGCAGTAAAAACAATTTACATGTGAACAATATTGATTGAAAGATTAATACAAACGGAGACTTGGAAGATAAACATTCGCAGGGGCGTATCTAAATGCCGAAGGGGGTCGGGGAGGGGGGGGGGGGTGTGTGAAGGGTCTCTTCGAGGGCTGGCACGAGGACAGGAGTCTTTGGGCTGCCAGAAGAATCTCCTTCGCCCCTTCCCTCATTAGAAGCTAACGGATTACGGTGGCCTGAAATGGATGTTGAGCATGTATAGGACACTAAAACTTTCACTCAAGATAAAAACCTATCACCGGCCCGAAGGGAATACGCTACTGAACATACGTTTATGTTTAGAAGGGAAGTCACTGAGTGATTCATTGCTTTAGAAAGCTCCACAGACTTTTGGGGAAGTCGTTCAGTTGCCCGGCGGTTCAGTTAAACGTTTGCTCGCTAACCTAAACGTCCAGGGTTAAATACCGCCATACATCGACATAAAACCTTCGAATTCTTCAACCCAGTTTCTCCCTGTCATCGGGTCGGAGGGGCTGACCTGGCAAAATTTCCCTCATTGCATACTGTATGCCGTTGCCCACCCTCATTAGCCAAATCAGGTGCAGAAAAGAATGGCGTAAATCTCCATTCATTTCATTTAATTTTCTACCGCCTTTCGTATCAAAAAGCACTTGTTCATAATTTTCAATACAGGTAATCAAAGGGTCATGCGAAGTAAGACGAAATAGTTTTGAAAAATCTTTTACAGAACCATTAATTATTATTATAGGGCAACAAAACATTGTTTTTCACAAAAGTCGGAAACTAAGCGCCGGTCGATATAATTTGTATAACTTTCGATCACCATGAAATATAGCTTTTGTAATAATTTGACATTTGATATATCACAAACGTTTTTAACAACCCCATGTTATACTGGCTGATATGTTTTATTGATTATGATTATACCATTAATATTTTATTAATCACCATTAAAATTGACTCCGAGAATTCAGATTTGATTTTATTTGACATTAGAATATTGTCGTACGCGACCTGATTGAAGGTCATCTGAACAATGTCAAATTATAACGATCTCCGTCTTATACATTGACATCATTAGGCGCTTTTCTTGTAACAAAAAAGCTGGTCGATTTTTGATTTGACATTGGCAGTATATAGTCATTCAATAGCAGGACGTAAAACTCCATTTCATTTCCTTTTTTAATTTGAATGTCGATGTATTACGAAATTCGTCTAATACATTGACATCAGTATGCATTTTTCCTGTATCGCAGGAGTTTGATTGGATTGTATAGACTTTGGATAGGGAGCTCTGATTTGCTGTAGTGCAATCCAATCAAATCAAAAGCTTCTGTGATACAAAAAAGGTGCCTAATGTTGTCAAGGTATAAGACCCTGTTTGACATACCATGACATCGTGAAGATGACTATAGGTGGGAATGGACGATCTAGGGCGTCTGACAATGCCCCCGCCCCTTCCTCCGAAAAAATGGATTTCCCTCACTGCAACTTAGAAAAAACACCACACCATTGTCCCGGATATATTATTTGCCCCTCCCCCAATGAAGACTGGCTACGGGTCATCAAAGGAATGATTATTTTTTCTTTACACTGATTAATTACTATTAATTGTCATTAAGTGTACTACTGTTAATTTCTGAATTAATTTCTTGACCATCATAACTTACCATAAACCATAGCTGTGACCTTCTCTGACATTTCTTAGCTGGTTTGATCTTATTAATACCTTCAGGTTTATTGGTACTTAGTTTTGGATGGTTGGTTATCTTCTCTGACCGGCAGTGGGGACGCCAGCTTCTCGAGACTGGGGGTAGGGGCAGACTGATGGCATCAGGCAGAGTATGTTTACTCTTCTAGACACCTGATACCACTTTTCATTATGAAATACTTACTCACTTATCATTGATATACTCCCTTAAATGATTAGCTTTTGGCACCAGGCAGGGTATGCTTACTCTTCTAGACACCTGATACCACTTTTCATTATGAAATAATTCCTCATTTATAATTGATATACTTCCTCATGTGAAAAGTTCATTAGCTGCAACCAATGTTTCGCAAATGTTGTTTTAGATTCCGGGTTTCGTTTTTGCGGTTCGGATTGTTGGTACTTGTTTTTTTTATTATTAACCGAGGATCCTCTAAAACTCAATGATGTTCAATCAAGTTTAAGATTTAAGATAGAAGTATTTATTTCAGATAATACAATGAGCTAAAATTCAGATTTATCAAAAGATGTAACATGGTTCAATGTCATGTCGTATTGCATCACTTCCGGTAGAATCAAATGTCCAATCATCTTCAAGGCTTTAACAAACGGACTGTAACCTTCACCTTGGTAATTACCTAGTAACCCTGGATACCATCGTATTGGGGTCAAGGCCAGGTGACCGAGGTTATGATCTACAGAGCTATAGCAGGATGCCATTATGTTGTTGACTACTATAGTACCTTCTTCAGTCAGTGGAACGTAAGCACCTGAAAGCAAATGTTTATTTTTACTGTTAGTTTACATATAGTACGTAGTGTTTTGTGTTTTTATATTCATAGGCTTTGACATTGTCTTTCAACACATCTGAACATATAAGATATATACTGTGTTTCGCTGTGGTCAGTTTAGTTCGTATCAGGGAACAAGTTACAGTGGAGCCGCGTTTATTCGGTTGCCGATAATCTGGAAACCCCGATATCCGCAGGCTTTTTACTGGGAATTAAATATTTACTATGTAAAAGTATATATATATATATATATATATATCCATGGCATAAAGAATGGAATTTTGTCGGTAATGGTCGTGTCTTTATGAGCGGCGGTAAATGTAAGCGAAGGTGGCCCTAAAAAGGGGAAATAATCCATGTTACCTTGTCTGACAGTTCTTTGAATATGTTTAACCTGAGTAGAACAGATGTCGGTATGACAGTTATCAGTAGTGTAGATATAGTCCCCAATGTTCAATCTACCTGCGAACCTGGAATAATGCAAAAGGAATTGAAAAAGACAATAATTTTGACATAGGTGCACCGGGAGCGTGAAGGCAAGTTTCAGATATGGTTTAAGGGTGGATGTAGATGGGTTAAGGGGTAAGGTGCGAAGAAGACCCTCTCTACCAACTCTACAAGGATCCTGTCTACCAGCTGATCCTTAGCCACATCTAGCATTGACCTTTCCAAGATTATCAACATCCATTTACAGTTTGGTCGATAATATATGGCGATTTCTTGGACACCATACGCCGACCGAGTTTAGAGCCCACCAACACCATTTGACAAATGATAGCCTAACTTACGTGGAGGTAAACGATGATGAATTGGATATCGAAGATGAAAAAATGACATGGCTTTCAGATAGAGAAATCATCTGACCATCCACAGTAATGACATCTAAATATACAGCAAGATCTTCTTGTAATCTTTTCAGAAACGTTCTGACTTCAGAATACACCTTCTTACCACCTTTTGTCACTGTTACAAATGAAAGTGAAATGAATGGAACTTTGCATCCTACTTTTATGTTCCTTATGGGTTAGTAAAGACGTGCAAATGGGAAAATTTGCTAGGACAGCGGCATAAGCCTACTCTTTTTCCGTTTCAAACTGTTGAGTGATCTTTAACGTGTACAGCGTGTCGCACAAGGGGTTCACGATATTAGTAAAGGTACAAGTATTTGTCACTTTGAAAGGTCCCATCCTATTTCACATGTTTACCGTGTTTGACCGTAGTCAGGTTATTATATTTCAAGGACCCGGTTATGATGGTCTCCTTCGACAAACTGTATTCAACAACCTTTCTTGTGTCTACAGGGAACGTATGATATTATGTACAGTATTTATAACTACAGGGAGGTAACTACAGTTTATGAAGTCAAATCCTACATTGATGTGTTCTGGCGTCTAGAACTCAAACTTGACTATTTGTGACTGAATAAAACAAACGTGTAACTAGAAGGTGTGCCAAGTAAACGTTATAAGCGATGTGGACTCTCCTAAGGACGCGTCGAGTTGAACAACCAAGTCGTGTAAGGGTATTAAGGGACCACGACCTGGCTTTTCACCGAAAATCGCTACATAATTATGGTATTGGGGCTCTTATTCGTTACTCACCTGCCAAAACTCGATCTTTCGGCTTCAATTCGCTCATTTTGATTTGATTGTCAGGTTCTACAGTTACCATTACGTCGCCGGGGAAACACACGCTCTCCGTCCACGGACAATCGCAGCAATCCCAACCGTCTTTTAGAACTTTGCTGTAACATTTACACTCACATACATACTCTCTCTCCGATCGGTCTCCGGGCTGAAAAGGACCAACATAGAAAGATAAATTAGTACAACTAATACACCAAATACTATCAAGTCGGTACAGATCGGAATCGGAAGCCCAACTACCATAGGGATTGGTTAGACCACGTCTACGGGTATCTAACGCCTAAGGAAGTCCACCCCAAAAACTGTCCTAGAGCATATGTTTAAAAAAAAACATTTACCAGGGAAGGGGGCCCAACCCAATTAAGTTCACCAGCCCCAACTCATCTATTTCTGCCACTAGTTGGAGTTGGGGACACGAGATATGCCCTATGCGTCACAGACTGTGCACGATCTCTTTGAAATGTAGTTATATGATTTGACCTTACACCCAACACACGCTATTTTGCTTATTTGATATTTTGAATTTTTGACCATCGTCTGTACAACTAGTCCGAAAATGTATTATTATTGATACCAAGACAAAGTATCCACGACAATGATCTTAAAATATTTTGCATGTAATGATGAAAACGATTTACTTACGTTTCTACGATTGTATTCCATTTCTACGCCATTGTGTGAAAACCTTATTCCAATAGCTGGAATGTTAATAATAATAAAAAAGTTAAATAAAAGTTAATGTAAGCCGGCGAGAGAAATACATTCCTTTAGCACAAATACGTCACATTTTTACAAAATTTTGAAGGAAAGCAAAGCAAGAGTGTGTGCAAATGCGATAATTTACATGAAACAGTGAGATAACTGGCATCTTTAAATATTAAGAACACGTGTATATTTATCCTGATGAACAAACATTAACTCGATTAGGTGGCGTGTGTTCGAATCCTCCTGCTCCCGGGGGTCGGCTTTCAGACCTTATACCGAAACGCAAATACCGCTACCGGACTTTCAAAGAATTCGAACGATTATTACCTTGGGCCTCTGAAATCCATTGTATAAGTATAAAACACAAAGAACCGAGCACAATAAACTTCATCGTGTTCGCTGAGATCCAAAGTTAAAAACTAAAACTAATAAATTATTGCGGTTTAAAATAAAAATCCGATTCGAATGCCTTGTATTCTAAAACGATCACATTAAAACTTTCGAAATGCCTGATGATAAATATATACTCTGATACACGTCCGAAACATCTGCCTCTAGTACAGCCCCTAAAACCCGTTTTGATTATGACTGTCTTTCGCAATCATTCAGAGGCTTGAACGGAGACAGATGTTTTGGACTATATAACATAATGAGTTTGATATTTAACGTATCTACTGTGGATTATAATTGAATATAATTATAATTCACTCTCATATCCGCAATTTAGAACGTACTACTTGTTGTGGGCTGGCCAAAATTAGGGTAAAACGTACAAAGGGGGATGCCGAAGGTCAAAATCTAGGGTAAAACGTAAAAGAGAGAAGAAGGGGGTGCCGTGGTGAGTAGGACGCAAAACAGCAATCTCAATCTGAACAGTAGCTCCCTAAAATCTATGATGAAATTCAACTAAAATGGAGCGGGCGTTTTAAAGTGGTATAAAATGTGAGGCCGCGGGTCCCAAATCTTGTTGGGGGAGAATGTTGGATGAATTGAATTAAGTTTATTTTGTAAATTCATCAAAATTTTCAAGGATGCCTTAACGTTCATCAATACTGAGTTCACAGAGTTAAAACTCTGCATGCTACCATAGTTGACATTTTAAAATTCAGTATGATATCACCATTTAGTGGGTAAATGGATATGATCATCACAGTTGAAATGATAGGAGGTTTGGGTCCAAACTGGACCATCAGCCGGATGAAACTAGGCAATCCTGGTGTTCCTACTTTGAGCACCACGAACCCAAATCACCACTGCTCATAAACCACGCTACGCCCAATTATCATTAAATAGTTGGGACCAAGGATATTTATGTCTATACCACAATAGATGAGGCGGTGCATCTGTCGAGTGATCTTGCAAAGCCTGTTAGCACACGCAGCCTCGGTTATTTGTCTCACCTTACAGGACGCCTTTCCATATCAGCCCCTCCGACCTGAATCACTGATAGAGGAATTCCAAATGGAAAGTCCAAAAATATATCTCGGCAAACCGTAAAAGTTACTTTAGCGCTCTGCAACATATTCAGCTTTCCACAAACTGCCGAGAATTTCCTACTGATATCTCGGAATGCGAAAGAAAAACAACAATGGGTATTTTTATGTTTTATATCTAGTTGAATAAATATGGTTAGATACATTATTGTAATGGGCCAAATACAGTTAATACACAATAGTTATTGTTATAAGCAAATCAAAGCAGGGTTTATTTGGGGACACACTGCATAGTTAGCTTGCATAATAGCAACCAGCTTCTTTTTTACGCGTACATTTGGTCACGTGATAATATGGCCTACTTAGTCACGTGATATGTTATTTTTGTTGTGAAATAAATTTTTTAGTCACGTGATATGACTCCTTTTTTTGGTCACGTGATATGACTTTCTTTGGGCCACATATAACCTGCAGTAAGTCCACTAATGTGACTTTTTTTGGCAAAGAATTATATCACTGCCATGACGAAGAATAATTTAAATTGATGTTTTCGACTGATCATAAATCCTTATTCACCTATTAAATTGATTGAAAGCCAAGCTTTATTTGTATTGAAAAAGATTTTGGTAATATTTTGTTACATACAATATTGCTTTATATATAAATCCAAATAATTTGGGCGAAAAAAAAAAATTTTTTAATTAGTATTGTTAATTAATAATCAGCATCAATGATACATATCTATTTTGATAAATCCACAAACAGCTAAGATCAAAGCTTGACGTCAGTAAGTTTAATATAAATATGTTAATTTTATGTCAAAATTCTTTAACTAAATGTTTGAATTGGTTGATTAATCATCCCATTCATCATCATCAACTTCTTCGCTGTCATCATCATCATCACTATCAGAATCATCTGTAATATAAATCATCATTATCATTATATTTCTAGCAATGTAATGAAATGATCCATTATCATCATCTTTATTGCTCTGCTCTGTTGCTCTGCCCCTTGATGAAACTGGTGCACCCTATTTGGCTACTGAAATGAAGTGGCGTAATACATCCTACTAACAGGTGCTTCTAAGAAACAAGGTGAGGGAGCCACAGAATTTTGAATGACGAAATTTAAAAGTCTGCAAAGGTGACCTGTCTTTTTTCTGGCGCTCCATGGTGCCCCCTGTAGACACACCACTAATCCTATTGGTCTGTGCAATATTGAGCTATTGACACCTGTTATAGCAAGAAAGATAAAGGGAGATAAGCATCATACCTGAACCTCTTACAGCTTTCTGTCTATTAGCCAATGCTCTAGCTAGAGCACCAACTAGTCCATCTTGTTCATTCATAGAGGGAGCTCGGGACTGAGTCTGTTCAACCTGAAGAAAAGAAAGAAAGAAAGAACTATATTTTACAAGGATAACAACTTATGTTCACAATTAAGGATCTTTTCTACCAGCTGGTCCTTGTCCAAATCTCTTGGCAGATTGATCTTTCCCATAAGCTGGGCTTTTGTTGTTATTTTATGGAAAAATATTCAAAAAATTTAAGAAAAAATGGCCACTTCTGACAATAACAATAATAATAATTCAAACTTACTGGTTTTAAACTCTTGCCAGTTTGAATTTGTTTTAGCAACATGCCATGGCCATCTCCTCCATCATTAGAGCCCTGGTCAGCAGGCGTGGCATTCAGCTTCTTGCCCATTCTTATAGCATCCATCAAATTGGCTCTTCCATCAGTATTAGCGCCAGCAGGGGCCGCTGGTGTAAATCCAGTAGGAGGAGGAGGAGGAGGGGCAGGTGCTTGGGGTGCTACTGGAGGTGGTGGAGGAGCAGGGACTCCAGGGGGTGGGGGAGGTCTGGAGGAAGGAGCACTCATGGGAGGAGGAGGTGGAGCTGCTGCAGGGGGTCGAGCCACTCCTCTTTGAGCTGATGAGGGTCTACCACCTGTCACTCTAGCAGGAGGCGGGGGAGGGGCGTGGTTTATTTGACGAGCAGGAGGGGGAGGAGCTGGGGCAGCCGATCCTGGTGATCTCATTGGTGGAGCTGGTGGACCAGTCTTGGTACCTACAACATTAATCAAAGACTTAATTTAGAAGCAGCCATAGCAGCCAAACTAGAAATATTAATTAACAGAACTGGCTTATTTCCAGGACCCATCTTGCCACTGAAGTTTTTAGAAATTAAATTTTATAGAATATAATAAGATAATTTAACCAAGTTGAAAGTTACTGGCTAACATCTTTTGCATGCACTTTGACAGTTTCAAAGAAAATTTCCCCTCTAATTCAATCCTGACGCTTACCCAAAGAAGTTGGAGGGGGAGGTGGTGCTGGTCTTTGAGCAATCTCCTTTTTGACAGCATCTATTCCACCATGTTTCTCCAGAAAATCATAAATAAACTCCACCGTGTCTTCGTCAACATCAGAGTTAATTCCAACTGATTGAAAGAGATTATGCATATCAGGCTCCAGATTATTCATCTAAAAAGAGACAAAAACATTGAACGTAATGAAATATCATACTTTTCTGCACCTGATGGGGCTAATGAAGACAAGCATTGCCTGCATATTCTAACTCTTTGTCTGTTGAGGGGTTGTGAAAACAATGGGCTGTCAAATTTGAATCTGAATTGATACTTACATCAAATCCCTTATTAGGATCCCAACCAACATGGCTTAGATGCCTGAAAAAAATAAAATTACCAAAATATACCATTTTTGGGGTCAAAGATCTATTTCCTACTGTTCTCAGAAATTTAAGAAGATACAGAATCTCCTTTGACTAATGTAATGAACAATTATTGTAAAATTGAATAAAATGGACATCCTACTGATCTCTAGTATGAAGTTTATAAAAACCCAGTGGCTATGTAACCTACTTGAAGTTTGTAGGAGTACCAATATCATCTTTCGTCAGTTTTCCCTTCTTCTTCTCCTTCTTACTTTTAGATTTGGCAGTATTCAACGCGTTTGTTGATCCATTTAGTTTACTGTCAGTGCTTGTCGACATTTTTGGTTGATTGCCTGAAGAACCTTAAAGGCAAAGCCAATTTCAATAAATAAGATCACATTTTCGTTTCTTTTTGGTTTTCTGGTATTTTTAGTTTACATTGTAATCTAACTAGTTTTCTACCAAACTTCTGTCCAAATGATGTTATTTTTAACCAATCAAAGCATTTCATGCTCATATAAGGAATTGTGGGATAGCAAAACTCAAAGAGGTTGTCATATTGCTCTACTTTGGGATTCAAAATTTATTTTTGCAAAGGACAAAATTCAATGAAAAGTTGGGGTAATTGAAAACTTACCAGGTACAGGTGGAGGTCTATTTCCGGAAGGTGAAGGTCGTTGGGTTCCTTGTCTCTGCTTCTTTTCTGAAACAAATTTCATTATAAGTTTATGTTCTACTCTTCTGTGGTACTGGATGATAGAGAGGCTGCTATCAGAGTTGCCTCATTTTGAATTCAGCCTCAACTGTTGTCCCCCCACCCCCATTGATTCAGTCTGCCCCCTATTTGTACCCCAAGTCTCGAAAGGCTAGCTATTCTATACCTTTTGTTTGTCCTAAATGGACTACCTGGTGGGAAATTTTCTAGAACACCATACTTCTATTCCTTGTAAAATGAATACTAAGAGGCTCAAAGATCAGCTGGCAGAAAAGGATCATCACAATCCCTGTTATCCTTGTAAAAATATGGAATATCCTTTCTTTGGCAAAAGATTTTGGAAGTCAGCTTTTTGAAATAAAGAAAGAAACATACCCATTTTACGTTGGCTTCTCTCATGAAGTTTCTGTTCCACAGCACTCTTAAACAGATTGGCTTCATCTTCACTAGCAAAATTCAACCCAGCTTGTTGTTTCTGTAATACATCATAGGAAATTACTTTGTGACTTTTTATTTGATCTAATTTCAGATAGGAACAGAAGAAACAGACCCAGCAGTTCCAGACCACTTATTCCAATTTCAAAATGAAGTATTTGTTCCATCCTTGGCCTGTACATTTGGGAGAACCCTTCTTTCCCTCAAATATATATTTTAATATTAATTTATACATTTTTTTAAAAGTTTTTGATCTGACAAGGTAGAAATTTCTTCAGAAATATAAAAAGAACTTACCTCACATTCAAATGTATGGAAATAATTTCTAGGAGATTTGTATCTAAACTGGTTATAAAGTTCTTGTTCCCATAACATCTGCTTTTTCTGAAAAAAAAAACAATTTTATTGTGAATTTATCATCTGGTAAATATGTACATGGTGTAAAGTCTTGAAGATGATTAAAAAAACCATGCATGACTGAAAATCAATTTGAGTGATCGTCTTAAGTAAAGAAACACAGTAATCTGATTGGTTAATATCACTGAATTCAAAATTAATTTGAGTGATTGACCAATCAAATGACTGTAACTAATAAAGAATATAATTTATATGGACTCTCTAAAAGGAATGCTGAGTTGGAGAGAGGCATCAGTTGTTCCAGAAAATGTCTGTACCTTGATATCATAGACCCTGATGTAATAGGATCGCTTCGTGTTATCTTTTATTAATGTGGCCACCCCACAGCATCTCTTATTCCATCTCTGACCATCTTGGGTATCAGAAAGATACAGCTGTACAACACCGCTCGCTAAAGTCTGAAACAGAATATCAGAAAATGTTAAAGAAAATGACGACATCAGATGAATGAATATATTTCAATGGTTGCTTCTTTATACTTATATGGCAAGGGAAGTAATGGATTGAAATCGCTATGGCTATGGTGGAGAGACCACTGTATAATTAGAAGCCAACAGGAGCACTTTGATGTTTGATTAGGACAAATTCACAAGGCCTAACAACACTCACTGCAAGGTAAAGAAAGACGTAAAACTCCATAAAAAATAAAAAAGGAGCTCCAACTCACCACACATCCCTTTCCCAAACAACTGAACAAAGTTTCATTTTCATCTGCAGCTAGCAACAATGAATCTTTATTTGTTGGCTTTACTCTGTTGGAAGTCATTTTTTCAAAATAGAGCTGATCAAATGAGTTTTCCTAATTTGACAACCTTCCTTGTCAATATCACTTCCTAATCCTAGTTGACGAGGATGATTAATCAGTGACCAGTACGTATCCAAATGAGCTTAAATCAATACCAGTACGTAGCCACTTTTTTTCTAGACTAAGGGGGGATTGTAATCTTTTTAGTTTTAATTATCGAAGGCACTTTAGCATGCCTTTTCTTTCAAAACACAACATACTAATCCTCCAATGGGTTTGTCAACTTGCATCCATTTCTGCTTAAATCATAGTGGGTACACTACTACAAGCTGCATATAAAATAAAGCTTTGGATTAAGAAAAAAGATGACTCACCTGAAAACTTTCATTTGGCGTGTATATCATAAAGTCATTTAGCTATATATTTATGAATTATTATATAAATATTACATACTACAAGGCTTTTAAGCTGAAAAGTTCAAAATAGAAAATTAAATCCATGACTAGAATTTAGACGCACATATTGCGATTTAATCTTGAAATTCTCCTTTACTTATGCTTTATCTTACACAAGCCGCTGGAAATTTTAGTTTTAATCAGAATACCCGAGAATGTACAATTTTAAAAGCTAAGCTATTGATACTTACAACTGGTAAGTACTTACTTTGTACATGTAAACAATTGTCCACGTTTAGAATCGGAAAACTTTTTTTTATTTTTTTCGGTGTCTATGATTTGCCAATGACCAACCAAGAGAAATGTGATGGGTATTTAGAGTCCTACTTGTCTGCTGCTGGTTGGGCTTAGACAAGCAGTGCCATACAGTATGTAATGATAGAAAACACGAAATTGTAGGGGACTATTATCATTCGATATCTTCTAACTATGAGCTTTTTCAGCTTTGCATGCACAGCTGTGTAGGCCCTACTGTGTAGCATTCACATGCAGTGTCAGTACAGGAAAGGGCCATGAAACTTGGTAAATAGTCAAATCTGAACAACTTGATTCATCTGTCCCTGTCGTCCCTATTTTAACTTATTAACCATGAAAAATATGTAATGAAACGAAAATTTGAAGGTACTGGTTTTGAGAAAGAAATGTTACCGGTACTTTTGTTAGGGTAGACAAGTAATCTACTTATATGCCTACACATTGTCGTATGAACTGTGACAAATACCTTGACAGCAATAGCCACCTTATAAGACGAAGTTTGTAATAACTTTACATTGTAAAGATGATGCTTTCATTGGAGTAAAAAAAGTAAGATGATAATTTATCTTTTGTTTCATTTGTGCTATTTAAAAGAATAAAATAAGACAAGTATTGCAATAATGGTTTATACCAGCTTTAGTGATTGACCAATCAGATAAAGAAAATGCTTCAATCCAGTTAAGTTTCACCCCTTGTTCCCTACATTTGATTTAAAATGATAAACTTGGTACAGAAAGTTCAAACTGGTGTCAATCTTTTATTAAAATTCTCACATTCAATAATTGAACTGGCTGAAATAATAATAATAATTGTGTAAGTCAAGTCAGGTGTGGAATTAATAAGCCTATACAAGTCAGTAGTTATCATGATTGTTATAATATGACTGGCTATTACTGAGACCTGTAGGATTATTGATTGTTAAAAAGAGAAAATTCAGCCTATTAAATGTCTCTGCATATGGGATACCAGGGCATTACGTTATGTAGAATTAGCTGAAACTGTGTTTAAAATTTCAACTCAATTTCAGTGATGTGGGTAGAAGGGGTTGATATGAAAAAAGGGTCTTGTCATTTGGAGAGGGGGCAATAAGCCAAGACCTGGTGTGCTACAATATCTATTGATGATATCAGTTTTAGCTGTGTGAACTCTCTGAAAGGGATAACAAGTATAAAACCTAGGAACCTAGTGGCATCAGGTATTTCAAAGTGTGAGAATACCCTGCCTTTTATTGGCTCATCCAAAAGTACTTTTGTAAGTGGTTTATTTTATTTTTAATTTGCTTTTTTTCTTATTTCAGGTAAAAGAAAGCATCCACAACAATGGCAGCCCCAAAGAAAGGCTCAAATCGAGTCAAAGGGAACCTAAAGCCTTCCAGCAGCAGCCAAGCGGCCTTATTAATGGGTCAGTCCACTGGTTTTATAGGATTTGGTGGCCAGTCTTCGCCCTCGTTCGTACCTCTTAGTTCCATGCTGGAAGATGTTGATAGTAGCTTAGATGCAGATGTACGCTTGGTTTTAAGGAAGCTGTCTAAGAAGGATTCCACCACGAAGATTAAAGCTCTTCAGGAACTGAGTGACTTGAGTCAACAGAAAGACACCGAGGTGTTGAAATCGATGCTTCCGTTCTGGCCGAGACTTTATAACCGGTTGTCTATGGACGTGGATTGTAAAGTGCGTGAAGCCGTCAATAATACGTTTCTAGTAGTTTCGGTACGAGTCGGGAAAGAAATCGCTCCGTATTTAAAATCTATTATGGGATGTTGGATTGCTAGTCAGTGTGATACCTACCCGATAGTTGCTTTCTCAGCAATCAAAGTCTTTCAAAACACTTTCCCTGGAAATAAACAAAATGATGCTTTAACTCTGTACAGGCAGGAAATCGTGGACTTTCTAGTGGACAACTTGATTAACCAGACTCCACAGTCGCTGAGTGACCCCAAGACGACAGACCAAGTTGAAATGGACAGTAAATATTCTAGGGTAATAGCATCATCTTTGGCAGGTTGTAGAAAACTGTTTACTTCCGTAGCAGAAGGAAAACTTTCCAGTTTGGATTCGTCTTTGACTGAATTATTCGAAAATGGAAAATTTTGGAAACACAGTAAATCCACAGTTCCTGGTATTAAAGGAGGGTTTTATTCCTTTTTGGCAGTCATTTGTCAGCGCTTCCAAGAGTTAGCAACGAAATACGCTAGCAAAATTACACCTATAGTGCTTCATAATCTGGATATATCCAACCCAGTTATCGTTGCTCCAATGTGGGAGGCCATCTTGTCACTGGTCAACCATGTTCCCGAATGCTGGAAACATGTCAGCTGGCAGAAAGCTTTTTGGCCGAAGCTTCGAAAGAATTTAGAAAATGGATTTGATGGAAATGCTGCTTCAATTTCACTTAACCTGATGCCTCTGTTAAGTAAGATTCCAGAGTCAGCTGTCGAGGATCAAGATGGTTTTTATATCGAGTTTCTAAGTGCATTTCGTAAGGGGTTCAATGAAGACAGTGTATTAAACAGTGCTTCAGACTGTGCAGCTTTAGTCAAGAGTTTTGTAGAGTGCTGTCAGTATTTAATTGTCCAAGCTGGTAAAAGAGAGGATCAGGAATTGGCAGAGAAGATTTTGGACCAGTTTTTAGTGGAGATCGTAAAATCAGCCATCTTGGATGAAAAGCCAACATTGGCTTCATCCCCTGTGTTTTCTTGTGTTGCATCCCTTATGGAGTCTTTTGAAAAATCAGTCAAGATGCTAAAATTGGCCGAATTGTTCTGGAAGCATTTTGAAGACTTTGCTTGCCAGTTGATTGAAGATGAACACAAGTCCAATAAGATTCTGAGACTTTTGAAGCTTATTAAAGGGTTTGTGACCAAAAATGCACAATGCAAGAAATCTGTCAAATTTGATGGAGATATGAAGGGTCCAACGATACCCACATCGGAAGATTCTGTGGAAATAGGGTCTCAGAATATGATGAAATTTTATAACAAAGTTTTAGGAGAAATTTTCCAAAAAATTGATGTGAAAGAAGAGGTGGATATTTTCTTTGATCTTTTCACACAAATTTTCCTATTGTATAGTAACGAACTCATAATTTCCTCGTTTTTAGGCAAAGACCAAACTGGTGATAAAGATATGTACTTGTGTTTTTTTGATGATTTTATTCTACCTCATTTGAAGCAGCATAGGAAAAACCTGGAAAGGTCCTCATGCTTGATGTCGATGTCTTTCAAATGCATCAACGATAAACTGAAAGATGCGGACCTTGCCTCTGCCTTGTTGGACAAACTGGTTGAAAACTGTACCTGCGTTCAATCCAGTTTGTACTTTGAGAAAATGGTTGAGATGCAGAAGAATCAGAAGCTGCAGGACCTGAAACTAAATGAAGAAGCTGTGTCCAACCAGTTGGTGGAGCTAGTGAAAGCGACAAGCTTGCTGAGTTCTAACAGTAGCGAGCCAGCGAACGTGAAGTTAGTGGATATGGGCTGGACAGTCATTAGCTCGGTCTTGGCTGTATGCGAAGAAGAATCAGTTTTTAACTCCCAGTGTGCCGAAAATATCTTGTTCACCATGGGACAAGAACTGGTTGTCCACATGAAGAATTCCAGGAATAAAAGCACTGTGAATCAAGCCATCCAGTTTGTCACCAAAGCTGCTTGTTCATTTTTTGATAATTTAAAGGGTATTCTTTGCCAGACTGCTACCGAGGAGCTCATGATATCGTTGTTTGGAATAAGCTTTGATGCCAATATCAAGCTTGAAGAGTCTGTCATGGATAGCTGTGAGGAAGCGTGGACCAAGGGATTAAAAGCTTTATTGAAGTATAACAGAAGTATGATTTACAATGGACCATTTGTTGAGACGGCTTGTGATGTTTTAAAACAGACCACCCTGTCCCAGGACACGACTTCTGAGTTGTTTGAACGAGTTTTAAAAAATTTAGAAATTTTGTTTGAGTTACTTTTTGCAGATTTGAAGGATGATGAACTTGCTGAGGAGATTTTTGAGTTGTTGCTGCAAAGACTTTTTATTGACAAGCGGTATACTCCTGAGTTGAAGTACCTACTCAGTTTGATCTATGTTCACCAGAACGTGGTGTCCATCACTCACGGGTTCACTAATCACTCTTCCAAGTCTTTACCCAATCTGCTGGTCGTAATCCACCAAACCATGTTTAATTTGAAGTTGATGAAACAGATGTTCACTGTCAGTTCGTCTAGTGATTTAAATAAACAAGGTTCAGACGCATTGAAGACTTTTGAAAAAAGATGTCTCTTGAGCGTCTTCAGAGGCTTGGCTTTAGTAAAGAAAATAATGAACTTCGAGTCTTCGAAAGATGAAAAAATACTGGCGAAGCACTTAGATGAGTTAAAATCAAACGTGGATTTCATTATCGGAGAGATTTCGGAACAAGATGTCAAGGAAATTTTCCAGGAAGCGAAAAAATCTGCTGTTGAACATGGCGAATTCGATGCTGTGTACCTCAATTGCATGTACGAGCAGATAGTTCCGAGTTTTTTCGATCTTGATGAGGCTGAGTTGCTGAAAGACGGTGGGATGCCGAGCAGTGGTATGTTCCACACTCTGCAGGTCCTGCTTCCATTGTTTTCTGTGGAAGGTGTACGAGTCCTCTTGCTCGCACAGGTTACGAACTTTTTGAGGTCTACGAAGACAACTGATCTTTGGCAACCATCAAAAAGCTTGTCGTTGTCTTTATCATGCTTAAGAATTCTGAAGGATCATCCCGAGGAGAAGCCATATTGGGAGAAGCTGTGTAGGGATATATTACAGCAGCTGTTGATATGGAGAGAATCGGATGAAAAGCTCTTTATAACTGCCGAAGACGATACTGAGGAATTCGTTAAAATTGTTAATAATATTGAGATCATGAAGTTTCTGTCTTTCGTGGTTTGTAATTGTGTAGATCTTCTCTCTGATAAAGATTGGGATTGCATCCTCTGTGCTTTGGTGGCCTGGGTTGGGAAGGTTACCAGTTATGACTCTTACGACAACTTGGAAGTCCACGCGGTTCTTTTTGCGGTCACTGTCTGCAACCTTCTTACCAGAGTTTCTCATTGCATGCTGGGAGCTTCAAAGAGCCGGCCGATGTATTTCCCACCGAATCTTTTAACGGAGTGGGACGATTTCTTCAGTGAAGGTCTATATGGTGAATTGCTTCCACGTTACGTGACACTCGCATCGGATCAATCAGAGTCGGACGATGTGTTCAAGAAGACCGTAGTAGACTCTATGGGCGCAGCTCTTTCCAGATGTTCCAGAGACCAGATTTTAAAACACAAACTACCAACATATCTTTCTGCAGAAGACGATGCTACACTTTCCCAAAATACACAAACTCTTTTGAATCACGTCTGCCCACTGTTGATCAGTTCCCGCTCGAACGTCCAAACCACTGCCTTTAACATGATCGAAAAACTCATGAACGAAGAGTCACTGTTCTCAGAGAAACCGGAAGAGGACCCAACATCGTTTGCTGAGGAAGCTTGCGTGAAATCTCCGCCTAAAGCGATCATAGATGTAATCAAGAAGTGCAGCGACGCTTTAGAAATTTTGCTGGTTGATCACTCCGTAGGTGATTATGTTACCGTCGATGACAATACTGAAGAACACCAGTATACTTTTGGGTACTTGTTGTCATGGAAGCTGGTGCTTTACCTTTTTAAAACCGCCAATCCACAATTTAGGGCCATGTACGCAAGTTACCTCAAGGAATCTAATTTGTTTTCTAAGTTTCTTAGTCACCTGTTTATACTTCTTCCTCCCGAGAGAACTGCATCTGCTGGAGACTTCAAAATCTTCGCGGAACATTTCATGGAGAATGGAACGCAAGATATTCAGCAAATAGCTTTTGAGTTATATTACCAATGCCTAGAGACGACTCCTGCGCTGGTTCGTCAATGGTGGACAGATTTGGACCGTAAGACCTCATCACACGTCGAGAAGTTCACCAGCAAATTTATGAGTCCAATGCTATGTTCGGATGAAATTTCGTCCGTCCAGCCATCTTCGGAAGATTTAGAAGGCATCACCATTAAACCACGTCCATCAACTAGAGAAGTGGTTGCTACCTACGTCATGGCGGAAGTTAAAATTGTTGTCACGATCACACTTCCGGAAAACTTTCCACTGGGTGTAATAGCTGTCAACAGCGACAAGCGAGTTGGTGCTACCCAAGCGCAATGGGACCGCTGGCTTCTGCAACTGAATATCTTCCTTCAGCATCAGAACGGTACAATCATTGAAGGTTTGAAACTTTGGAAGAAGAACATCGACAAGCGATTCGATGGAGTGGAAGACTGCATGATCTGTTTTTCGGTTCTGCACGGTACAACGTTTCAGCTTCCGAAGCTGCAGTGTCGTACCTGCAAGAAGAAGTATCATTCAGCTTGTCTTTATAAATGGTTCAGCACAAGTATGAACTCGACGTGTCCTTTGTGCAGAAATTTGTTTTAATCTATCTATTTGGAATACAGAATCAAGATTTAGTCTTTGAGTTCCGTTAAAATATTGCGTTGGTGGTGCTCACAAACTTTAATTAAGATCTGCGCCATTCCATGTGTGTGAATTTACATATGTTTTAATTAAGGAACATAACTCAATTGTTAGCTTAAAGGGGAAGTGTGTGCCAATCCTTAATCCCTTCTCCTAATATTTGGAGATTTTGTCGATTTAAGTCAATTTTTGTTACCTGTAGAAGTTGTAATCTCTGGTTTTTTTTTTAACTTCTTGATGCTTTTAAACCATTCAATTTTTTTTTTACCATTAGCATTGTTTTCATCTATTCCGTTCAACTGTGATACACATAAGATTTGTCCAGTAAATAAGCACACACCTTCTCTTTAAGTACTTTATTGCTACCTCGAAATTTGTACCAAGAGTTTTTGAATTTATTTGAATCTGACAAGATTGTTATGAAAAATTTGTTCTTTGCTTGTAATAATTCAACCAATCAAATGTTCTACTGATTGGGAAATTCACTACCACACTTGTTTCACAATTGTAAGCAGTAGATTGGATATAGATTTATTGATATAAATTATTTACCTCTGTCGTATTTTGTATGATCACGATTTGAGTGAAGTATTCCATAGAAAGTTAAGCGAAAGATCTAGAGCTTCATTCTGATCACCGGTGTTTTAGTGCAAGCTTAGCTTCAAGAAGGATATTATCAGATCAGATTATATAGAGTTCTTAACCTAAAATCTTGAGCTGCACTCGGCTAACAGGTGCTTTAGTCCAAGCTGGGTTTAATACATTGTGTTGTCAGGTCACGTTTTGACTGAAGTAAACCATAGAAACTAATGAGGCGAAATATATTGAGTTGTATTATAAACAGAAGTTTGTTATAAATTATTGAGTATATAATAAGTATTGTTATCATGTCTGTTTTACCCAAAGAAAAGATATTGCTATAATCATGGAGTTTTGTAAATTCATCCCGAGGTTATCCCCCATTAATAAGCAATTTAAAGTTGACATATGAGCAGACGACGATCCAAGTAGCATACGACGAAGTCTTCTCAATGTCGTGGCAGATGAACGTTCATCGAGCTAACGATTGATCTATTCCAGTGTCATAGCAGACAAAATCCAAGTTGCTTACAAAGGTTCTTTCCCACCACCTAGCAGACGACAATCCATCTCGGTTACGATTGAGATTGTCTCTATCCTAGCAGAGACAACATCAAGCTAACGTTTAAGATATCTCTCTGTCCCAGCACAGACAATCCATCTAGCTAACGATTGGGCTATCCCACTATCTTAGCAGATGACAATCCCTCGAGCTTACAACCGAATTTTCCCACAAGTACATGTAGTTAGTCTTCAACATCGAATCCTTAATTCAACAAATCCGTCAACGAGATCATGATTGGGTTAGATTTCTTAATATTTCGTCCAAGGTTTAACAAGCTATTGCCCTTATAAAAACAATAATGATATTCATAGAAATAATTTATTAACAATGGCATTTTCGTTTATCAGCTTGTGGTAGATTGTTGGTGTGTACCAGATGAGTGAGACCTATAAATAGATACAAGGAGTTGTATATAATAATAATAATAATTGCAAGAACCGTAAGCATAACGGTATTGAAGTGGTGCGGTCCATCCTGGAAATCGCTCATATAATGAAAGGTTTATCAAAAGATTCGTACTAATAATGGTACATCTCACAAGTCTTTTTTGAATTCATCACATATCCTCCCGCTTCAAAGGATGAATAACCGACCAAAACATCTGGGGGAGTGCTGACACAACTACCCCACCCCTTGCCCAGATTTGATGCTTACTTACCTGCAAGAGCGGACTGGAAACCAGCATTGTAATCACAAGCTACCTCATTGTGCACATAGTCATCTCGTTTGTCTACATACTTATCGTGTTCATCAGGACCACCTACTAGAGCTCCGACTAGGACATGTGGACTGGGGGCTGAACTGTGTAGAATACTAGAATCACAATGGGCATGACAGGACCTGGAAATTAAACCATATTGAACATTGAGTTAACATTGTTGTTGGGTGGTTTTACCAGTTTCCACACCGACTTAAACTTACAAGAGATTTTCTGGCGTTTGTAATTATGTATAGATGGGTCATCTATACCTTCTATTTGTATAATGTATACTTGTGGTCTAGACTAGACTATGACGTGACTTTCGTGATTTCCATAAGGCTTGAACTGAACACTCGTACTTACGCTCCTCTATGATGTGGTCTCAATGGATAATGTTTACCAAAACCAATCATGTAGCTGAAACATTTATTGTTGTCGCCCAGGATATAGTTAATTTGACCCTGCGCCCATTTTCTTAACGATAGAGCATCTATACCATGATCGGCAGCCATCAGAGCCATGAAGGCAGTGTTTGCTAAAAATAGAAATGGATACCGTCATAAGACCACTGACACCCCCTCAAATATCTCTACTTTTGATTACAGGTCAGCCTTGAGTGCTTCTGCGGGGATGTTGTCTGGTCCTACTGCCTTGCCGCTTGTCAGCACCTCGAGGACTTTCCTAATTTCCATCTGTTGTCTGCCCAAAATTGATGTTTAGGTCACTGTAGTTGTTTATTGTAAACTTAATTTCAACAAACCACAAAAATATTTATCCAATCGTGCGAATAGGTAATGAAAAATTATTAATATTTGATTATCAATTTGCCTACTGGTATTTGAAACTATTTGTATCTGCGTTACTCTATTTGCTAAGTCTTTGGAACTTGAAAATGCCGAAACGTTTTGCTTCTAAAATGATTTTGATGAAAAAAGATGACAATTGGACAGTACATACCTGCATATCTGGTCGAACCCCACTGGTCTCTCCAAGCTAGTCCACAAGGTGTGTATTTGATTCCACCACCAGGCTTCCATCCTTTAAAATATCCCTCAATTTCCTGCTTGTATTGGTTGTCTTTAGTGGCTTCATACAGCAGCATCTATAATAGATAGAGCTTATGCTCAATTGTACTTTATGATATGGAATTGACCTTCGCGTCTTACTACATCTTTGTGTTCATCTCCTACTGCTTTTGTTTGAGATATATTTTGGGTAAGGGACTTACCTGGCAAGCAATCTTCTTGTCGTCCCAAGACAGAGCCCAGGCCCAAGCGTTTTCATGGAAAGATTTAGCATCATTCAGATATTGGTGGTCTTTAGTTGCTTTGTATAACCACATGGCGGCTTCACATAGTTCATCCTTATACCCACTTGATCTGTAAAGACATGCCACGAAATTGAATATCCAAAAAGATATTAAAGGGATAGTCAGATGGTAAAGCACAGTTTAAGCTATCCATAACACTCTTCACTATCCGACAGTTTTACTCAGTTGCAGGAAAAAACAGGAGTCAGATTTGAATGCAATATTGTCCATGGGTAGCTGGAAATGAACCTCTTTTATAGCAAATATTTCGACGATTGTATCCCTTAAAGTGATATAACCAGGATTAGTACATAATTAAATTGAACGAACGACGAAAGAAGGAAACTAAATCAGGAATTAAATTCCAACCTGTAAAACTGAGAGGCTTCAGGAATGCTGGAACTGTAGATTCCTTTGTGATTCTTGGCGAATTGGTACAGACTTTTAGCCGAGTTCAGGAGTTTAGAAGAATAACCATGATCTGAAATCAAGGAATAAAATCGAATCGTTGTTCTTGTTGAGGAATTACTACTGGGTCTCTCTGTAATTAGTGATGGGCGATCGGGCCTTCAAAATGAAACAGCGCACTGGTCTAATACGCCGAGTCATCGTCGAAATTCCAACGCCCCCTACCATTTCATGCCACAAGACTCTTTCACTACCTTTTGACTTGAAAGCAATGGATCCAGCAGCGAGGGCAGCAGCAGTTCCACCAGCTACGTCGCTTCCGGGTTTACTAGCTGTCACTTTGTAAGCTGGACGTGCCATGGTCATGTCTTCCGGCCTTCCCCAGAACGAATGATCTGCGTTTCCATTACCGACCTGAAATTTCAAAATGCATGTTATTTTTTAAAATAATTATACTTAACACGGTTTACCTGTAACCTAGCACCAATTAATTCCCGGTGTCCATTAATATAAGTTTTATCGACGAAGCCAAAGATTTACCTGTGCATAGTACGTCTGACTGTGAGGGTTCCAGCACTTCAAGAAATAATCCAGTGGCCACTTGACGCTATCATACATCTGATTGATTTGATGGCTGGATTGGTAGGCGTCTTTCCACTGAATAAATCCCCAGAGTAACAAGGTAGTAGACGAAGCCATTGGCAGGTTGAACTTTACATTGTCTCCAGCTATATACATGTAAAGACATATTTATGGAATTAAATCTCTACGTGTTTGCATGTTATGGAGAAACATCATTCAATATGCAACTAGAATAAGTTGGCTGAAACAGTGGCATCACGCTGACAACCGCAATCGTCATGTCTGCTAGCTAGTTCGACACAGTGTGTCGTATGCGATGGAATAACTTGCTCTTTAGCGACTTCTATGGCTCTTGCATGTCCACAGCCGAAAGACTTAATACATTTTTCATGTTACCAATGTCCTCGCCGACAATAATGTGTCCCTAAACAACCAATGTCGTGAATTGCGACTTACCATCATACCATCCACCTGTAAGATCTTCACCATGGGAGCCTTTATCATGCAGAGCTGAGTCTCCTCTCCATTTGATAGGATTGTTGGACGGTAGTTTACCAGAACGTTGTGCGTCAAAGAACAGGATGGATTTCCCCAAAGCATCACCATAATTATAGGCTGGCTTACCACCTCCTGCCAATGGTATATTAAAGTAATAGCCATTCTTACCACAAGAACTGTCGGATTAGCTTCTCCCCATAACCCACACAGACTGTAGCACAATGGGCATCGGCTTACTGCCCCATCCGAACGGCTAGCCGCTTTTTTCAATTCAGTCCTTCCGAATAGCATCACCAACAGGGGAAAACCTAGATTGACAAAACTGAAGGATTGAACCCTGAGACAATCGTCTAACTCACTGAGATATTGCCGTTCCTGATGGTAACTTGTAGGATTTCGAGGATGAAATAGCTTTACCTGTATGCTGACCACTCACTACTGATAAACCAACAACACAAACTAGTAGTACGATCATCATGGGAACTGTACAATAGAGGGATTAAAAACTTAATTCATAGAGTCCAACAAATTACATGTATGCACATCTGGTTTTCAGGACAGTAACTTTAGCCTACTCTTTTCTTTTTAATTCTACCTGAAGAAATATATTTAATGTGCACAGTCTGTAGACCACGGGACTTCACTTCATTGTCAGTTCAACGTTTTTCATGTCATTCCCTCCGACTTGCATCACTGACAGTTTAGGATTTAATCTTTGATTTTTGTGTTAACCAGCGAACATAACTACCGAGCCACCACGGCTCAAATGCCATAAAGTTTCCTCTAACTTACCTGCCTCACTAACGGCCTTCCTAAAAACTACTGTATCTAAACCGTGTCCTGTTTTTTAACTACAATCTAATCGAAACCATGTGCTGAACTCTCACGACCTTGACCCAGTGTCATTAACACTGCGTAACAAGAGTGCAGTGTTTTAAAAACTTCTAGACGAAAGTGCTACTATGTTTTTCTTCCAGAAGGTTACAGATTACTTTGTACCATAGCGACATCAATGGTTACTACACGTTCTCTAAACGTTTTCAACGAGAAGATGCAAGGCAAAATCGTACAAAATGTCTCAGATAGTGAACAAAAGTACATCAACGATCCGGCATCAGACAAAAGTACAACAGTGATCCAGTCTCAAACAAAAGTACAACAGTGATCCAGTCTCAAACAAAAGTACAATAGTGATCCAGTCTCAAACAAAAGTACAATAGTGATCCAGTCTCAAACAAAAGCACAACAGTGATCTAGTCTCAAACAAAAGTACAACAGTGATCCAGCCTCAGACAAAAGTACAACAGTGATCCAGCCTCAGACAAAAGTACAACAGTGATTCAGCCTCAGACAAAAGAACAACAGTGATCCAGTCTCAAACAGTAGTACGACAGTGAACCATTTTAAGTCATTGTGGTAATATTGTGATCTTGTAAACATCTTTTGTAAAAGTTTTGAAGTGCTGTTAAATTTGAACTGTATCAAGCAAAACTAAGTTGAAGAGGTAAGGAGATACGATTTGTATGATGTCAGTTGAAGGTCAATAAAAATCTGTTTATTAAAAAAACGGGCGAATATTTAATCTCTTTTTATTCATCTTTATGTAACAGTATTTATTTCTAATGTATACCTAGTGTATCATCTCTAAGTATTACCTGGTCAAGGTTACGTAAATACGGATTTTGGGAAAAAAAAACTTACGTACTAAGATCCCACTAAGTGGTCACATTCTTTTGAAATTTCGAGATGAAGTACGTCACCTAGAGGGGTTGTAAAGGGGTTTTCTCAAATTTTATGTGTATCGGGAACTCTGATCAATTTGCACTATTCCAATTTTCAATCAGACGTCAGTGGTCCCTGCAATTCCACTAAAACTAAGTGTTCAATGACGTCACTAAGGCCTTGTGTGATAAAGCATATTTTGCGATTTTTCGAGGGGATGGTCACCTATCGTTTTGATCGTCACCGTTCTTTTTCAGCGAAATACTTCACACGAACTACAAAAATGGATTGAAATCAGGAATTTGAGACAAAAGTTTTAATACGCTATATACAAATAGATGATAACAAAATAATAAATATTTCTAAGTTCATCAAAGTACAAAAATTATGAAAGTTCAAATATGAAAGTTTATTTAGACAAAAAATGAAGTTTTATCGAAGTCGTTTTGAAAATTAAAGTTAATTTTACAGTGTGTGAGAAAATTTGCCACCATTTTGGTGTAAAAACTCATTGAAAATTCGCGGAAGAATATTACATTTCTGTAAAAATTCATCCAAAATGGGATGTCAACTTTTGCAGTAAAAAAAAACACAAAAACTCACAGAGCATTCTTAAGTTTCGATGTTCGAATTCGTGATTATGAAAAATCGCGAAAGAATCACGGTAATTTTTTACAGTGTACATATAAAAAACTTATTATGGCAAGTAAGTAATATAATAATGATATACATGATTCTCGATATTGATGGCGGTTATCATTATTCAAAATTCATAAATATGTCGAATTTTAGTTGCCGAAAAGGGTCTTAGAATCAACGTCAACGCATTCTTTCTGAGTTGGTGAAAAAATTCTTGGTGAACCACTTCGAGATCGGGCACAAGTACCAGCTTCTAGTGTACGGCCATCCTGGCAGTTGGCGTAGTACGGGGAAAATGAACGACCTTCCCACTCTTGGAAGCCATTGCGTTTACCCACACAGTTAGGGTATCTTACCCCACAAGGGATACAGTGAGCTCGTGGACACTGGTTTTGTAATTGGTCACCTACAAAGAAACAAAATCCAAACTGATACATGCCATGGTTCGAATACAAGGTGCATCCAAATGAGTGCAATGGGATTTAACATACATAAGACATTGGTTAAAAATTCTCACACAGATCTCCCAAGCTATTAAGAACGAAACATAACAACTTAGGTTCACTAGGATCCTTTCTACAAGTTGGTTCTTTGGCCTTTACGTTTGGCCCTAATGATTTTATAAGGATAGCAATTTAGATTCACGAGGATCCTTTCTACCAGTTGGTTGTTTGACTCTAACTCTTGGTAATGATTTTATAAGGATAGGAAATTAAGATCCACGAGGATCCCGTCTAGTAGGTGGTCCTTGACCAAGCCCTTGACGAGGATATCATAAGGATAGCCTCTCAGGTTCTCGAGGATCCTGTCTACTTGGTGGTCTTTGGTCAAACCCTTGATTTCATAAGGATAGCTTATTAGATCTTTCTGGGATTTTTCCGAATCCCCTTTTCAAGTATACTTACATGGACTGGGTTTAATCTTTCTACTACCACACTGTGGTTCAATGGTGGTGTAGTCCATATCACATCGTTTGTTTATTCTATCGAACAAGGCTGGGTAGGGACATTCGTCTCGGAATGGAGGGAGGTTGCCAGTGTCATCTACGACAACTTTAGAGCAGTTGTAAAAACCGGCGCAGTTCTCCTCGTCAGCGAAAACAGCGGTTGGATCAGTGGCACAGATTGATTTGCCTTCATCGTAGGATCGAGCTAAAATAATAATTGGAAATTCCATTAAATGATAGTTTATACCAAGTTGATGAGTTGCGAAGAAACGTCGTGTGTTTCCTCAACGTAGCATCAGACTGAAATTACAAAAGGGTAACCAATAACCAATAGAGCTAACATCATAACCTATCTCAACAACTTTAGTTTCTTGAATAGTTATTGGGCGTTAGAAACAGATTTTCAGATTTTTCAACCTGTTTCCCATGTCAGTGATACTGTCCAGAAGGGCTGATATGAAAAAAGATAACCCATTGTCAAAAGTAGCTTCATGCCGCTGTAATGGTCATCTCCACTTGCGTAAAATGCCAAGTCATTTTGTCCATTTAGTTCTTCAAATACAAAGATACAAAGATTCACTTAAAGCCCTTATTAATTCAAATCCCATTTGAAGTCAATTGAGAAGAATAACAGGGTTATTGATATTCAAACAGCGTACAAGGCTATTTGTTCTTGTTTTTTTAAGATATTCTAATAGTCCCTCGCCATCTCACCACTAAACCAGGTGGTCCAACTGTCATAATAGTGGTAATACCCTTAACGTACTAAATATTGACTTAAGTTTTCTAGATACTTTCTTATTGTTACTTTACTTGTTCAAAGGGCGAGACAAGATGTCATAATAATAGTCACTGGCCATTCGCTAAGACGTTTACTTTTTTATATGTTCTTCTGATGATTTTCAATTACGTTATCCGACCACGATATCAAGGAATTCATCCTACCCTGATATCATGACGTTATCCGATCTACATATCCATGACGTTCTCTCACCTGGATACCCACGACTTATCCGACCACAAAACCCATGTCGTTCTCCGGCCTATACATCCACTATGATTTTAACGGACATTGATATCCATAGTTGCAATTACCTGAATTTAACGTGTAGAATGACATTATCCGACCTTAATATTCATAGTGACGTTATCCGAAATTGGTATTAATGGCGCTATCCAACCTCGATATCCACAATGGCGTTGTTAGATTTTGAAATTCGTGATGTTATTAACCTCGATATCCAAAATGACGTTATCCGACCTCGATATTCACAACTACGTAAGGTGCGATAACGTTATTCACAATGTCTTTATGAATGTAAACATTGAAGCGCCAAAACATTCAACATCGCGGTAGCCGTTTGGTGGATGTTTTTTCAGCACTTAATGACGTAAAATATGGCTCTCAAGATATTTTCTAAGACATAAACTGAACATTTTTATATATCTCTTGGTATAGTTAAGTTTTGAAAACCGTTAATGGACAAATATTTCGGAATAATGAAGGGTTTCCAAAGTTTTACAAATGAAAATAAATATAATCATGTACTAACCTATGAGTTCTGGTGGTGATCGCATACTGCAGTCATCTAAACGACCAAACTTTGTAACACATTGCTTGGTGGTGGCTGAAAACGTTTGATCCTTGCTACATTTCAACTCGAACTTGAAGACGGAGTTGGGACCGATCTGGAAATAGAATTTAGTACAATCCCCTTCGAATGGTAGTAACTGCCAGGTAACGGCGGCGTTGGATAATCCAAGACAAAGCACAAGAACACTGGTTTGTAACCACATTTTGGTTTGATAATAACTCCCGCGTTATGCGAGCGACTTCGTTTAAAATCTGCTTTCTGAATTAGAATTCAGTCACACTTTTTATATACCGAAGTTACGAACGTAACGCCCTCTTTTGTGGACTTTTATAATACGTCATCATTGAGATACACCTTGTATTTGATTTAATCCAACCCAATAAACGTGAAAAGTTTATTAATCAACACATTTCTATAACAAATCAGGTTACATTTTCTTTTGTGGCGTAATAAAAGCTAAACGTTGATCCAGTGTTCGTGTTTTCGTCTGTTGACAGTCTAGATCATTCTGCATGTTTTAATTGTAATTTGTATAGTGTCGGGTACATCTCCGCTAGCGTGACCTTTACAGTCCACCTTTTTCACTTATTTTACCTACAAATACTTTTTTTTTAGTTCGTGAAATCACAAATTCTTATCAACTAAACATAATGAATTGAAACTTTATGTTTCCGTGTAATGGTTTACATCTAAAAACGTAGTTGATAATACAACTGTAAAGGGACAGGTTCGCCATCCGTTTGAACAATCGGAATTATTTTTTTAATTAAGCAAATCAGTTATAGTGTTCACATCTCACCTTCGAAATTTTAGCCTTCAAATCGAATGTGTGTCCAGAATTATCAGTAATAGTATTTACAAACTGTCGAAATTTGAGTCTTCAAAGCCATGTGTGTCCAGAATTATCTGCGTTTAGATGTTAAAATGACGACTCGTCAATTTCAGATACTCTGTGATATATAGAAAAGACGTATTTTGAAATAGAAAGTGGAATTCCTAGTTTTAGATATTTTGTTGGTATTTCTGAAGACTATTTACTTATATTCAAATATTTAAGTTTGAATGATTTTTCGTATACCTTTTTTTAATGATGTTGATTTTAACTTGAAAAGTTGACTTTTTGCTTTCATTTTTCATTTTGACAATGTCTTTCGATTGTGCTTTTCAATGACAAATCGCTACTTCTTTTATCCTAATATTACAGTGGTAAAGAGACCATTTTAAAGTTGCTTATTCTCTTGCAATGTTTTATGTTAATAAAACAATATGAAAGGAGTGCAATTTTTAAGTATTTTTTACATATTTTTAAGTGCACGAATTCTAATATCATATCATGTGGTTTGGTCTTTGTGTACCACAAAAATACTTCAATCAAACTCGACCTTGTGGTGAGCTAAAAAAAACAAAAACAAGTACGACCTTTTTTCTGATCTCCTCTACAATGTCATTTGATAAACGATTTAAAACGTGTCCGAATGACGATCTCGTGGTTTATAATTTATAAAATTCGTTTGACCCAGCACTGGCCTTTCCGGTCAAAAATGGTTTATTGATCAATTTGGAGTTATTTTCGTCGATTTTCTATTCCGTATTTTTGGTTTCTTTAAAAGTCACTCAATGTATACTACTGTGATATAAATTTTCACAAGATGGTGTTACGTGGAAATCAGACATCGTTTTACAATATTAAAATAAAATTAACAAATCATAAGATGTGGATTATTGCACTATCACAATAAAAGTTTGTTTGTACTTGGTTTGGTGAAATTCGTTCAATTTTGTATTTGAATTGGAACGCATAGAACTTCTTAGAGCAAGCCCTATGGTGGTAACGAGGAGTGTCTAGAAATTGCCTGAAAGGTGGTGGGTGGGTGGGGGAGCGAGGTGTCTCTAACAGAGTAGGTCGGAGCCTGGGGGCTTTCCTAGGAGCCAACGAATTTCCGACGTCCTGAAATGAATCTTGAGCATGACTTAATTTAATCTACCCCCCCCCCCCCTCCCACCCTGGGGGCATGCCCCTCTAAATACGCCAACTGGGTGGCAACAACCCCTATAGTGGTAACAATCCCTTATTTGGTAAACAGTCTTCAAACAATACTTGCCATTCAAAAAAAAAGGAATTGCGTTTGTCATTTTGATTAAGTATTGGTCATGAGTTTCTATTTTTAGATTTTCTTTTCTTTTGTTACAAATTTCACGACTATTTTGAGTAATTCAAATTAAAATCTGTTGCCATGGTAACGTATGTAGGTATTTATTCTTGAAGAGTTGTAGTCTAGTCTATATGTTTTACGAGTGTTTACATTCGGCGTAACAAAATTGAGTAAAAGCAAATACTCAAGCCTTTGAATGTGTTGGAAATTTTGGCCCATTGTTATTGTCTTCAGATGACACAATATCAAATTCATGAGAATATTTCTGAAAAATTTAACAATAACTATTTTTCGAGAGACTAATTGTTATATTTTTGAAATAGAATAATGATTATATGCTGTATAAAAAGGATATTTGCGCATATCTTTATTCCATTGGGCCTAAATCATACATTAGATATTCTTACAAAGCAGGTTCGCCATTTTTGCTTTGTGGAATTTGTCTTGAAAATAGTCTTAAGAAGTACTGGAAATGTACGAAAATCGCATAATTCCTCCAAAAATATCCCAGACAAGGAATTTTTTTTAAAATATCTTTTCTATATATAGCAGTGTCTCAAGAAAATATAAGTCGTAATTTTAACTGTCAAACGCGGATTATTCTAAATTACATGGATTTGAAGGCTCAAATTTTGACGGTGAGCTGTGAACACTATTACTGATAGGTTTAGCTAAAAAAAATTCCGTTCTGAGACTAAGGTACGATTGGTCAAAAAGAAAAATGGCGCACAGTCCCTTTATCGTATATACGATAAGAAACCATATGTGACTCCGATATGGTTCAATGGTTCAATGGTTATGACACTGCAAACCTCTTGTGTGTCTTTTTAACGTTACAACTCATTATGTTGGTATGGTAAGGTTTGAGAGGGAACAGTGGATGGTGTAAGAGCGATACAACTACAAGTATTTCTATTGTAGTCAACAAACTCGACATTCCTCGTCGTCGACATGATGAAAACATCTGTAGATAATTCACGTGGGACCAACCCTTGAACTTATGATTTTTCGGATTAATCTCCAATACACTGTAAAGATGTGCTGTAAAATACCTCCCCGGCATTAAGGTGTGTATTCTCTTTTCTTCTTTGAATTTGCGAAATATGATTAATTTATTTACGATGTCCATTAGTCCAATAAGATATAGAACAGTATGATATAAAACTCTATTTCATTTCATTAGTTCAATAAGATACAGAACAGTATGATATAAAACTCTATTTCATTTCATTAGTCTAATAAGATACAGAACAGTAGGATATAAAACCCAATTTCATTTCATTAGTCTAATAAGATACAGAACAGTAGGATATAAAACCCAATTTCATTTCATTAGTCTAATAAGATACAGAACAGTAGGATATAAAACCCAATTTCATTTCATTAGTCCAATAAGATACAGAATAGTAGGATATAAAACTCCATTTCATTTCATTAGTTCAATAAGATACAGAACAGTAGGATATAAAACTCTATTTCATTTCATTAGCCCAATAAGATACAGAACAGTAGGATATAAAACTCCATTCTATTTCATTAGACCAGCTAAAACAAGAAATACACGTGCTAACTGAAAATCATTTTATTTAAATATATCATGAATGTGAACACAGTTGATTCATCAACAAGAACACAGTCGAATCATTATCAGAAAGTTAAAAAACCACAATCATAGTTAAGAACAAAATAATCAGGAATCTTGGAAGTCTTCGTCGAAGATCCACAGCCAAATGTCACTTAGCCGTTGATGCGTTGGTCACACACTATTGTAGGTATTATCCTTTTCTAGAAATGTCCCCCGGTTCGTTCACATGACGAACTATAATAGTACTGCAAGCCAAGCCGATAGCTTCACAGATGGGAGCCAAGCAGCAGTTAACGTAGGTACCAAAGAACTTCTGGAGACAACCCATGTTGATCATCCAGTTGCGGAGGCAAGGAGTAATGTGCCAGACGTGCTCGAAGGTAATAACAGCAAACATACATCCCCAGCATAGCGAAAATGGTAACGCACAGATCAACGTAAGGAACTTGTAGCAGCAATTTTTACTGCAGTTAAAACACAATCTTGTGCAGGTCCAGCAACATTCGAAACTGTGAGCTCCATCAGGTTCGGCTATAACGTCTTCAAATTGGACCTGAAACGGAAGGAATGGGATTTAGATAAGAATTGACTGTTTGTTTTTCATGTGCATTACTACACATGTCAGTCGAGATCTGACGTAATTCTTCTGCGAATCATGTTCACTGTGGAATTTTTAGCCAATAGCATCAAAAATTGTTATGATTTAGACAGACTTTGAAAGAGAATTTCTCGCTCATTAATAGAAAATCTTATATTGAACAGAACATAATGAATGGTTGAATTAGAAGCATTCGTGTGTCGTAAATTCGTGGATTCCTATGTTGTCGTGGTAGATCAAATTTCTTGTTATGTTTTACTACTGTTAACAACTATGTTTTTTTTCTCTGTTCTAATTGCCTACATTAACATAACTATTATTGAAACATTGTTTTTTGACCTTCTGAAACAATTTAACATCATTCATTCTTGTTTTTATTTTATTTCGTGCGATCATTAATTCGTGGTTTGGCGGATCCACGAGTCCCCGAAAACAAAAGTCGATGAAGAAATTTAATGGCTAACCTTCAGATGGTCGTTGATATCATTGGGATCTCTGTTAAGCATATCCATCTTGAATCGTGAAATGAACACTGAGGATTTAAACGAAACAACAAATACGTCTTGAACCAACCGTCTTATAAACAGGGGCACGATTTTTATATTTGACTTTTGCTTTTATATTGAGACCTTATTCATCGACATTGGTAACCAAAATAAATAGATCATTAAGGATGGTTGGTGTCAGTAAGGTTCTGAAAAGGGGGCCTTTGTTGGGTGAATGGGGTTCTAAGAGGGGCAAGGGGCTGTGACAAACCTGAGGGTATCAATTCCTATTCTTTCATGGGTAATGAGTCAAAATTGAAAACTGAATCCAATGTAGATGTCACATCTGTGATAGCGTTTCTTGATAAAATGAGTTATTTCCCTTCTTGTGTTTCGGGAAATTCTGCAGATGTGATGATATGATGATGCTCTGCACCTAACTCTTGTCCCTCAATATTACACCCCCCCCCCTCTTTAAAAGGGAAAATATATGCGCCCGTATTCGCACTAAGTCATTTTGTCACCCGATTTTGACTATAAAGGATTCCATTATTGTCTGCAATGGCGATATTGTGATATGAAAACGCCTCGTTATGTATGTGAGCCATTGTTGGTAGTTGACAAAACGAAGACACCATATACAATGGCGGATACAATAGCGAATAACAATAACTATTGTATTTCAAAATAAAGAAATTATTGAAGTAATAAATACTATTGAATTGTGCATTGTATAATATAAAGCGAAAGTCACATTGACGCAAGTAAAAAAAATCGATTTCAGACAAGTTTTCGTTATTAGCCTTCTATACAGCAGTAAAGTAGGACGTAAAACTCCATTTCATTTCAGAGTCATGTATTTCATGTATTGATTTTGTTTCATTTAGCTCTAGATATTTGGTTTCATTTATTTTATGTGGGTTACTTACCTTCGTTAAGTTGGGTTCCAGCTTTGATATTATTGAACGTAAATATGTAATAGTGGCTGACTTGTTGAAATGAAATGAAGTATATACATGTACTGCTTTTCTGGATGACGTGTTGGAGAGAAATGTTCATGGGCTAGAGCATAATTAGATAGAGCGATATTTGCCAGTGTGAAGTAGGCTTTACAGATATTAATAACCTTTACATGGAGTACAAAATATCTGCTTGATTAAAAATATACCCTTGAAGGTACATTGAGCATTTGTAATATAGCAATAATATATTATTCAGCTATTAAAGGAATTTCATACATTGAAATTCGGTCGATTTTCTCCTTACTTTAAAAGGACAGATTCGCCAACCGTTAGACCAATCATACCTCATACCAAAGGGGGTCAAAAGTGGCATTGGGTGTCCCAAGGGAACACTCTACTAAGTCAAGAGTCAGATTTGATCACAATAGTTTTATTTACATTTAGGTGACATCATTTATTTGGGAACCCAAACTAGGGGTTTTTTACAATAGAAAAAGTATTTACACATTGTACAGTAAATGGATTAAAGAAATTACGAACCAAAAAATACTATAAAATATCACAAAATATGCCGATGGGAACCCAAAATGGGTATCAAATATTATTTACAAATATCACACAATATGATGGGGTATGACCCTTAATTAGTCACATTTGGGTCATAAGTGGGGGAAAACATTACAAATATCACAGAATATGCCGATGGGAACCCGAAAAGGGTCCAGGGGTACAAAGATACATAGAAAAATTAGAAAATATCACAAAATCCAAAGAACATAAAATAAAAAACAAAATAATGCAAATATCACAGAATATGCCGATGGGAACCCGATAATGGGTATACAAAATTACAAACCAAAAATATTACAATTATCACAGAATATGCCGACGGAAACCCACAAAATGGGTAGAAAAAAATAAAATCAAATATTCATGTACATTTATATACAAATATCATAGATTATGCCGATGGTAACCCAAAACTGGGTAACTGGAGAAAAAATATCATCAAATTATGTCGGTAAAACCGAAATGGGGTAAAAATAGATAAAATATTACGAAAAATATGTATTTACAATTATCACAGAAAATGCCGATGGCAACCCAAAATTGGGTGAATAATCCTTAGTACTGGATTTGAGGTAAAAATAATTTCGAAAAATGGTCAATTGTTCCTTTAAGATAGTACTATTCCTTTTTAAATGCACTAAACATGAGTCCTAAAGATTCACAGCATGGATCTAAACAACAATGGACACACATTCCATAAAATTTCTTTAAACAGCCACATTCTATTTCTAATACTTTAAATAATGGAGTAATAAACCAAACATGAGTAAAGGCGATACTAGCAAATTCACAGCCCCATTCAGCAGCTATACAGATTCCACAACATAGAGTAGCTAATTTATACCAGAAATTCTTCCAGAAATTAAAACAACAATAAGAAGCTTTCCAAACACAATCTATACTGTGAGCACCATCAGGTTCGGCCAAGATATCTTCAAATTCAACCTGAAAATGAAAACAATTTGGGCATAAAACTTCATTTCATTTCATTATACAGAACAGTAGGATATAAAACTACATTTCATTTCATTAGTCCAATAAGATACAGAACAGTAGAATATATAATTCCATTTCATTTCATTAGTCCAATAAGATACAGAACAGTAGGATATAAAACTCTATTTCATTTCATTAGTCCAATAAGATATAGAACAGTAGGATATACAACTCTATTTCATTTCATTAGTCTAATAAGATATAGAACAGTAGGATATACAACTACATTTCATTTCATTAGTCCAATAAGATACAGAACAGTAGAATATATAATTCCATTTCATTTCATTAGTCCAATAAGATACAGAACAGTAGGATATACACCTCTATTTCATTAGTCCAATAAGATATAGAACAGTAGGATATACAACTCTATTCCATTAGTCCAATAAGATATAGAACAGTAGGATATAAAACTCTATTTCATTTCATTAGTCCAATAAGATACAGAACAGTAGGATATAAAACTCTATTTCATTTCATTAGTCCAATAAGATACAGAACAGTAGGATATACAACTCTATTTCATTAGTCCAATAAGATACAGAACAGTAGGATATACAACTCTATTTCATTAGTCCAATAAGATATAGAACAGTAGGATATAAAACTCTATTTCATTTCATTAGTCCAATAATTACAGAACAGTAGGATATAAAACTCCATTTCATTTCATTAGCCCAATAAGATACAGAACAGTAGGATATACAACTCTATTTCATTAGTCCAATAAGATATAGAACAGTAGGATATAAAACTCTGTTTCATTTCATTAGCCCAATAAGATAGAATCTTAAGAACAGAAGAATCTTTTGTAAACTTACCCCGATGTGATCGTTGATGTTGTTAGGGTCTCGATTGACTAAATCAAGGTTCTGCATTTTGTAGAGGAGCTGCTTCAAATGGTTCCAAAAGCTAAAACGAAAGTTCTTTTAGATCTTAAGTCCTTCAGATTATGGTCACTCTACTTTTAGTGAAGAAAACCGTCAGCTATCTAAGGATAACGTTGCCTGTTCGCAAACGACAAAGTCCAAAACAAAAACGTCCCTTTCGGTGCTATAGAGCTATACAAAGCTCATAAAACGATGTGATGCTTGTTCTACTGATCTTGAAGCCTTATATATCACAATATACCAAGGTGTATCGGCCATCTTGTTTGTTGACGGTCGTTGGTGGTTGATAATATGTTTACATGTAAACAATTGTATCGCTGTTTACAATGATTACACATTGGTAATGAGCTTATTCTATTTTCTACCATTCAAGTGGCTAATTAGCCCCCGGATTATCGTTAACCCTTGATTATCCATTGTGTTTATTATGGACCATTTGTTACCAGTACTGTTACGATTAAGACGTGTTTATGCCCGTATCGTAAATGTTAGAGACGTAAGAGACGGGGCATCTAAACGGGGTCCTTTTGGGGCAGCTGTCGAAGAAATATTGCCCCTCCTAATTCAAAAACAAATAGGGGTTACTGTCCCACAGAATTTCATATACAAAACTTTTCACAACGTTTCTACAATTTGCATTGCAACTCAAGTTTATGCTAAACTACTTCAGCATTTCTCTGTGCGCAACGTTTCTACAATTTACGTTGATATCATGTTATGTTTAGAATATGGTATACTACTACATTTTTTTTTTATTGAACACAAGGTTTCAACAATTTACGTTGGCAGTCTCAAGTCACAGAGATTAATGAATTAGAATACAATTTTATCACTTTCTTGAATTTAAATAAGTACAACGTTTCAACAATTTACAATGTTTGCGCTTGATAAATGATAATATTTACCAAAGATCTAAACAACATTAGTCATAAAGCGTCATATGATCAAATTGGAGTGAAAAATGGTATAAATTTTTAATTTCATTTGGAAGATTTGATTAACTATTGGTCATTTAACGACATATTTGCCCATATTGATGTATAGTTATGATTCCAGTGGGAATTCGTGCTTCTGTTTAGAGAAACAGATGGCTTCGGGACTTGGGGTTAATATGGCGAGCCTTGTGGTCCAAGGCCTGGAGGACAGGCAAAGACATAGCCCCTTGGGTACAAGACCTAATACACCTTTTAAAGAATAAAAAAAATATATAAATGGTTCTGTATCTTTGTATGTTCCTTGGCAAATTCGATCTATAAGAATCTGTTTTTTTTTTTGTTTCGGAGGGGGGTGGGGGTGCTTGTGTAAAACACATGTGACGACAGGATGACATAGATTAACGTCACGTCCGGTCCCAAACGACGAAATGCCAAAATGATCAATCCCTCATTTATTAGTATTTTTTATACACAGGTAAGTGCACTTTCCAAAGCATAAATGGATTGGATTGAACACCCTTCCGCTTCTTGCGAGCTATTATCTAAGAGTTAAAAATGTTTTTTCTTATTACGAAAATTCGAACCGACGTACAATAAAATCGTCTAACAATTCAAATCTTCAAGGTCAAACAGATTGGATTAATTTGCGATTGATCGCATTAATAGAAGAAAATACGTAAATCTCGCGATAAATATGAAACTTTAATCATAACGGGATTATAGCGTTAATTAATCCGATTCCATTGATTTGATTACGTCATTAGCTTAATGAGGGTCTGTCCTGTATTTTGGTTACCGATGGTCATGGAAACACACAACAGAAACAACTTCTGTCCATATTTAAGGCTCATGTCGTGGTAACAAAAATCATACAGCAACTTTCCAGCCCTCAGTCAGCTCAGTGGATCTTTACGGAGTTCAAACAGTCACTAACGCAACCTCCATTAAATTTCGGAGCTAACTTAAGCTTTCAGAGCTCAGTTGATACTATCGGAAACACTTCCAACATTTAAAGAAAGTCAGTTCGTATTGTCTTGCTGTTTTAGTTTTGAAAATGGAAAATCTTGATTTAGTCAACCGAGATCCCAACAACATCAACGATCACGTCGGGGTAAGTTTAATAAAATATGTTAAAACTCAAATAGTCCAAGAGGGTAATATAACGGGAAACACAATAATAGACGAGATTTGCTTTGGTAAAGGTATTTATTTACGATGAGTTAGTTTAAAAAATGAAATGAAGTTTTATATTCTACTGTTCTGTGTCTTATTGGTCTAATGAAATGAAATGGAGTTTTATATCCTACTGTTCTGTATCTTATTGGACTAATGAAATGAAATGTAGTTTTATATCCTTCTGTTCTGTAACTTATTGGACTAATGAAATGAAATATAGTTTTATATCCTACTGTTCTGTATCTTATTGAACTAATGAAATGAAATGTAGTTTTATATCCTTCTGTTCTGTAACTTATTGGACTAATGAAATGAAATATAGTTTTATATCCTACTGTTCTGTATCTTATTGAACTAATGAAATGAAATGTAGTTTTATATCCTTCTGTTCTGTAACTTATTGGACTAATGAAATGAAATAGAGTTTTATATCCTACTGTTCTGTATCTTATTGGACTAATGAAATGAAATATAGTTTTATATCCTACTGTTCTGTATCTTATTGGACTAATGAAATGAAATGTAGTTGTATATCCTACTGTTCTGTATAATGAAATGAAATGAAGTTTTATACCCAAATTGTTTTCATTTTCAGGTTGAATTTGAAGATGTCTTGGCCGAACCTGATGGTGCTCACAGTATAGATTGTGTTTGGAAAGCTTCTTATTGTTGTTTTAATTTCTGGAAGAATTTCTGGTATAAATTAGCTACTCTATGTTGTGGAATCTGTATAGCTGCTGAATGGGGCTGTGAATTTGCTAGTATCGCCTTTACTCATGTTTGGTTTATTACTCCATTATTTAAAGTATTAGAAATAGAATGTGGCTGTTTAAAGAAATTTTATGGAATGTGTGTCCATTGTTGTTTAGATCCATGCTGTGAATCTTTAGGACTCATGTTTAGTGCATTTAAAAAGGAATAAGGCATCGAAATTAACCATTTCGACCACCAAAACCAGACAATTTTCGAACTCTTTTGAATCATAAATCAAAAGGGAAAACTGTATTTTGCTTTTCAAAAGTTTAAAGTTAAATTTCTGCTTCGTATGGCCTGATTACTCCTTTGGATACCCGATACCTGTTTGTGATTTGGCTTCTCGTCTCGGCTTTGTTTTATTGTATTTAGCCTACGGGCCGTTTTTGTGATATTTTTTTTAGTAATTTTCAGTTCTGTATTATTAATTTATTATATTTTAATATTAAATCTATTTATTGATAAAATTTCTTATATTTCTTGAAAATTTGATCAAGATACTACCATATTAGATCTAACGACAGGGCGTAAGAAAATTTGTGAAATTTCATGAAGACGACCTCTGACACTTCGTTCATTATCCTCAGACATTCGCTTGGTTTCAGCACACCGGCGACTGCAGAAGCAAAACTTTGGACTCGAGGGACCCATCGCCAAATTATATTCTGCATTTTAAGTAATTTGAGAGAGTTCTCTTTCAATATTTCCACATTTTAACAAATGTTCCACCAAATAAATATAAGCGTTTATCAAAATATAAAGCAAATGCAGCCATTCCCTAACCAAGTACTGCCTATTCTACCAGTATTTAGTTAGGGGTTTAGGGGTTTTATCTTACGCTTGGGTAAATTTGAAAAGGAAAAAGGCCACATTAGACTTATTTTAATCCTCTTGCATTGTCAAATTAGCCCTCAGGCTAAATCTATCCCATTAACACCTGTCGGTTTCCTTAGCCAATGGCTGTGGTCTGTGCTAAGTGATTTATAGCAGAGTTATCTTTCTTCCGTCTCGCTCTTCAGTGACACGTTCTCTTTCAAGATGGCAGCCACCACACACAAGATGTTTCTCGTAGCTTGCCTTGTTTTTCTACCAATTTTTGCTTCAGGTATTGTTACAATTTTTTTTCAAATCATGAATGTTTAGTTTGTAATGTTTGGATTTCGATGAGGTTAGAATTGATGTGTTATTTGCAGGATTGAACCACAAAACAGTGGTTGTTTTTATTTTGTTTTGTGCTCAGTGCTTGCTTGCGTGGCATCAATATCATAGGATAGCAGATGATCGCATTCTGAAAAGCCTTGTTTTGGCATTAGTAATTCAGTTATCTTCTCTGAAACAAGGAAAGCTATAAAAGAAATTCCCTCCTTTGTAGAACTAGAATAAAGACGATTTTTGCATAGAATTGATTACCAGTACATAATAAGTAACATTGTAGACCCATAATCTGGACCTTCTGGCTTCTGTGCACAATGCAACGAAGGAATGTTAAGTTTTAAGGTCTTTGGTCTGAACTTGTAAAAAAACCTTTCAAAAACTTATGGTTAGAAAATCTGTAAGTGTAGAAATTTACATTGAGAAACACCATCATACTGTACTTAAAACAAAATGGTTGGTACAAATGTTTGTCTAAGGAGACCCTTAGTTAATATTCATCATCATTTTATTTGACAATATAATCTATTTTCAGCGGACACCTGTCTAGGTCCCTCGGTCTCAGCTGAAACTTATACCACCTCAGAAGTGACAGTCTCTACAGAAACAGTTTTTATTGCTCAGTTTACTTTGACTTGTAAAAATGGTCTACAGGTGGGAGAAAAACTTGATATTGATATAGCTCATAATATTAAAATATCCATACGTGGCCAGTCAATTCTAGTCATTTGATGATGTTAACAAATATGGAGTCTAAATTTAGCCTTAGTTTGTAATTCTCTTCTAATTTAGCTAATTATGAATAAATTATGAACATGTGAGACAAATTGGTATTTTTCCAAGTCATTAGAACACCTCTACTTTCTATTTGTACAAGTATTAGCATTTTCATTTTCATTTATGAAAATAAAGGAACCCATCTTTAATATTTCACATGCATAAGCTTACCACATCTATATAACTATGTTGTACTATGTTGTACTATGTTGTACTATGTATATATTGTAGAATGTAAATCTTTATGCTGAGGTAGCTGGTAGAATGATCCCCGCTGTAAAAACCAGTAAACCTAATGAATATCAGATCAGTATTACTGATGAATATAAAGCATTAAGATCAGGAACTTATGAAGCTAAATTTTATGATGAAGAAAGTTTCTCTGCTCTAAAGAAGGTAAGAGTGTTTGCTAACGAGGTTTATTTGTAGGTAGAAACTATACAGTCTAAACTTATATTGTGTCCAAAAGTTTTCTTTTGAATTGAGAAGATTCGCAATTACATTCGGTGTTGTTAAAAGAGAAAAAAATTAAATACATCTGGTTGTGGTCTGTATATACTGATGTAAATTGTAGTTGTCTCCCCTGATTAGTTCTATATCTGTATTGTTTGTTACAGGCCAAGAGAAACAATGAAGATAGTAACTCAGTAACACCATTATTTTCTATTAATATTAGCCATTCTGTAAGTTTAAATTTTACTTAGTCTTAGTATCTTCAATACTCCATTGATACTGCTTGCTTCTCAAGCGCATAAATCCGTCTTCATTAGCCCACATGGTGCAGAAAAGTAGGACGTAAATCTCCATTCATTTCATTTCAAGCACATAAAGATGGAAAAAGCTTGGATTGGACAATAAACCGAGACTCTGTGAGCTACAGACTTTTGCAGTTTTTGTAGACTGGAAATTAGTACTTAATATTTGCCTCCAAGTCAACAGACACATACTGTGGCAGTTCATTGTCATTTAGGCACAGATATTTTAAGCACAAGTCAGACACAATACTTTAGGCAGGCTTCTTTTAGGCTAAATTGATGTTGTGCCTAAATCACTTTGTCTATATGACCTGTGCCTAAAACACCATGTCTAACTTGTGCTTAAAATATTTGTGCCTAGTTACCACTGCTTACCACTGTGGCACATCATCTCATTAGCCCACATGTGGCAATTCCCTGATGTTTAGCCAGTGCTTTATTCTTTAATTATAATTTTTGTGTGTTTTTTTCAGGGTCTTTGGCAAGGAAGTTATATACAAAGTGAATTTGTAGCTGCATGTGTAGCCATCTTGGTCTGGTGGTTAGCTTTTTCCGCAAAATCCAAACTCAGCCCTTAATTTAAAAAATACATTTTCTAGTTTCATTTTGTAAAATATTTTAATAAAAATAAATTCATTCCTTTTAACTGTAATGTGTGTTCTTTTTTTTTTATTTGAACCTTGATATATTATGTGGGTGTTAGTGGACTATAGTATAGTCAGATTAAGGTGTTAGGATTTTACACGCACTCAAACTTGGTCATGCTTTTGGCGCTAATAACCAGCACATATTATGACAAATATTAATTCTTCCAGCTAAGCCAACTGAATTTGATATGAAAAAAATTGTTGTTTTAAATGTTGAAGATATTAATTTCTTCTTTTTAAAAGAATAACAAACTCTCAGTATTTAAATTTCTTGGCTGTTTTCCTTGAATACTTCTTCAGTCCATTTCCTTTCAAGATAATACAAATTTCTTGGACATCTTCCACTGATACCAACTCCCCCCACTCCCCTTTTCCTAAGTGCATTCCCTTCTGGTATAGTCATATTGCACTTGGTTTAGTTGACATAGAGTGAAATCACAGTATTATTTCAATATTGAAAGACCCCCAAAGTGGTTTTTTTTTTACGTGTTTGATATTGACTCATTGGTTGTGTTGTTTTTTATCAAACATCATAATCAATGTTACCACTAGCTCGTACCAACAGAACTAATTTTCTTTTGTGACGTACCAAACCTTCAAGAATGTTCATGTTTGTTTCAATTAGACTAAAATTTCGACCCCCAAAAAAATGATATGTACCCCCACTTCATTTCAAACACATTAAAAAATGTGATTTTTATACGATTTTGCCCTAAAATATGTGTCGGAATGAACTTAATCAATTCAGTTTTTTAACATTTATTGGATACGAACCCTCTCGGACGCGCCCTAGGTACCGCATTTAAATTGCAATCGTGACAGTTGTTCCCCCATTAGGTCAGTTTGCCCCCTATTTGTACCGCCACTGCCCCTCCCCACCATTCCTGACGTTCCCAGAGTAGAAAGAATTCAGGTGTTGTATTAATGAAGTAAGTATTTTAAGAATCAGAGTAGTATATGAATGAAAAGGACCGTAGTTATATTTCTATTAAAAGTTGTTGGACCAGTTTTTTACAGTGTAAAATCATTCATGTCTTGTAAAGTATTATCGACAATAATAGAGGTTGGTGTGTTTTGCCCACATTAATTTAATGATTGGCATACCCTTTCCTTGAATATTTGAGGTTTCGTTTTCCTCATTGTGAGTGATATAGTCCTCGTAGCTTTAGGGTTTTGCCTTACATCTTTAGTAAGGCCACTACATCCACCGTAGCCCTTAGTTATGGACCCGGACTTGACATTTGTGTCAAGCACATATATTTAGTTAGACGTTTTATATAGAACTTTTTGATAAAGCTCAACTATGACCACCCGTAACGCTTTTTAAAATAAAAGAAATCTATAAAGACAGGACTTTATCTAATTCATATTAATGCATCAATAATAACGTTTTGTCAATTCAGAAACCACCAAAAGGAAGAAAGGCATATCAGTGCTCCTTTAATACAAATCGAAACCTTCCTTCAAAATTGCAGTACAACTATGAAAACAATTTCAACAAGGGACGAAAAGCATTTCAAAGCAACCAACTTGTTATAATGAAAAATTTCATATAGATATAACTCTTATAGTTCGAACTATTTCTATTGATCACGACTCTACAGTTATTATATAATATGTAACGTCTAATAGATAATACCGAGGCGTGACGGTTTGAATATTTCCACTATTCCGTTTCACAGGTAAGTTTACATTTTTATTGTTCATTTCAAATTATTAGCGTACTGGATGATGACAGTGTAAATTGTTGAAACATTGTGTATCATTAGATATAGGAGTAGTATGCCATAAAATTTTGTTCCGTTATTTAATGGATTTATTCAAACGAAAGCGTTCTTGAATACGACGTAGTTTTGTCAATGGACAGGGCATGCTTTTATCTTTTCATTTTTTTTTCTAATACTAATTTCCCTGATTGTTCACTGTAGAGTGTAGCAATAACCAAGTAACTTGTGTAGAAGTGTAGAGATAGCCCCACCCCCTCTGTCCGTTCCTAATTTTTATCATCCAATATTGACCTTCCCACGGACATTGAATAGTAAATATAATACTAGAGTGGACAATAGTGGTCTACTATAGAAAATATATAAATATTCTTATTGAAACCAGTATTTGAATTGAAACTACAGACCACACTTAATTTTAAATTACCTAGTCCTCTAAATTCTTTAAAGCCCTTGAAAGAACTCAATGTCAGTTACCTATCAATGTGGACAATGCTGTAAAAATTAGTTATGTGGACTCTCTGAAAGGGATGTCGAGTTGACAAACCTAAATACCAAATAGATGTTATTACATATGTGAACTCTCTGAAAGGGATGCTGAGAGGACAAGCCTAAATACCACATAAGAATTACAAGCTATGTTGACACTCTAAAAGGATATCGAGTTGACAAACCTAAATACCATATAAACATTATTAGCTATGTGGACTCTCTGAAAGGGATGCTGAGAGGACAAACCTAAATACCAAATAAGAATTATGTGGACTCTCTGAAAGGGATACCGAGTCGTATATAGTAAAACAATGTATGAAGTCTGAAGGTAGCTCGACCAAACCCTAGTTCTTTACAAATCGTTGATAATGCCCTATAATATTTTTTTCTATATACTACTACATGTTATTGTATGTATACTAATATTACCTATTTTAAACAACCCTATTTTACCCCCTACAGATATTTACCTTGTTGTTTCTTAGACGAGGAATTTTTTAAGTGAGTTCACATACGGTTATAATCTAGCCCGAAAAATCTTTCCCTACCCGTTCCTCGGACGTGGTAGGCCTTTTATAGGGATGTGATTCCGTCAAGGTAGGTTAGAGTTAGATGTGTCGGGCTTTATCATATCTTAAAATTTGTACATATAAGTGCATTTTGTGTCACATTAAGTGCTTTTTGTGATAATATCTTTGAAATTTAAAACTTTTTGAACCAAAAAATAAATAAAATTGCCGTCACCTATAAGGTGCTTTTGAAAATACTTAATAAGTTTGGGGTTGGGGCTTCTCCCCGGGAAAGTTTTTTCAACGTATGCTCGCCTGTTTATTGTTCTAGAGTGGGGCCCCCCTATGGGGCGAGGACCCCCGTTGGGGTGAGGACCAGTGGAGTTGATTCAATCAGTCTCTGCGGTAGTCGAGCCACTGGAGCTAATTGAAAGTAGAGCGGAATATTTATTAAATTAATGAAATATTTGAGATGTGAATGACAATGTTTCTATTATCTAGTATTTATCTATTGTCAGTATATAGCTCTAGGGTGCTAGTTTATTACCTATAGTCATACTACTCATTAGACTGAGGTCAATACAGATCTTTCAATGTCGCTTGTCAATTCACTCAACCGTCTAAACTAGACAGTTATTGTCTGTGGACGATTATTGATTTGGGGTCTCCGACTGGCTAATTTCTAAGTATTTTGTAAGGTATTGTCATTTGTAAAACGTCGGATTTCATTCTTATCCGTGCTACGGGTAATTTTCAATTTATTCAAAGGATAGACACCTGTGGGCTACAGATTGGCTGGTGGTGTTCGAATGGCTAATTTTGTTACAAATATCTATAAAAGCGTTTAAGGTAGGGTAATATTATTTGTAAAACGTCAGATTCCATTTTGGTATGTGATACGGGTAATTATTGAACTAGACACTTGTGTTCTACAGACGCTAATTGAGATATTCAACTGACTAATTTTTGAAATTCTAAAAAATGTTCGATGATATAATATTTCCCAATCGTTCAGAAAACATTATAAAAATGTCTATTCCTAAAAAGATTTATATTAAATTTCTCAGCGATGCATAAGAACGATGTGAGATCAAAGACACAGAAAAATTGCCGACCGTTTTATTGTCTCGATACTAACATAACAATAGTCCATTGCCAAATTCCATCATTTAATGTCCAAGATCAAGTCAAATAGTTAGTTTGAAGGGATATAGCCACTTACAGGAAATATTCTTTATCCTTTTGTGCACAAATTTGTCAATTTTTGTTAATATTGCGAGGTCATATTTTTTTTTTTTAGTAATATCTGTAGAAATGAAATAAAATGAATGGAGTTTTACGTCCTATTTATCTGCCCCTGTGTGGGTTAATGAAGACTGGCAACGCTTCGCAGTGTGCATTTTTGCAAGGACTGTGGCATTAGCCTACGCTTTTTGGATGTCCATCTGTTGAGGGATGATTTACGTACCCAGCCTGTAGCGCACGGGGCCGAGAGCTTCATTTCATTCCAAATTCTTGCGATATAAACAATCTAAAATATTTCGATAATTTGGTTTCAACTATTTTTTTTAAACTTTTCTATTTTATTTTATTTTAGGGGGAGGGGGTGTCTTTAAAGATTAACTGAGAAAGTATAACTTGTTACAATTTGTATAAGAATGTTTCAATATTAAACTCAAGGCAATGTTTAGTATGGGCCTTTCTCTAATATTGACCGTAAACACAGTCATCAGAATTATTGAACCAGTCTAACTACCTGGTCGCTATTCTCATATTGTGTACTCTCTTAATTTTACTCCCTGGCTGATATTTCAATATTGAATGTTGTGTAGGTCGGACGAAATTTGTCAAGATTTTTTGTTAGAAGGATACAATTTTTCTTAAGAGGTGAGACGATTTTTGTTCAGAGATGTTTTTTGTAATGAATTCGTAAAACTGGAGTCTGTGTTTCTTCGTATATTTTGGAAAAAATCTCGTTTGCTGTGATTTGGATTTCTGCTTTTGACTTCAAGTTCGAACTTTGATGCAAATTTCATAGAGAACAAAGAAATAGTTAATAGTTTATGATATATGTGAAACTTTGATTTGTATTTTTGGATAAATACGTATTGTTGTGATTAGGATTGATGTGTTTGACTTGAGACTGGATTTATGTCATTTTCGGGCGTAAGTTCAATCTTGTCGTCGTGCTTTGTAATTGGGATTTGTGGTTTTGGTTAGCATTAACTTGTTATTCTTTCAGAGAGTACACATAGCTAATAATGTTTATTTGATATATAGGCTTGTCAACTTTACACCCATTTCAGAGTGTCCACATAGCTAATAATGTTTATATGGTATTTAAGTTTGTCAACTCAGCATCCCTTTCAGAGAGTCGACATAGCTTGTATTGTTGTCCGTTTTTTTTATTTCATCGGACTAAATGGATATTATTATTTTTTTATTTTTAGATTTTAATTTTTTCGAATCTGTAACTTCGACTCTGAAAGACCTACCAAAGCCGACCATTATATCAAGCTTTCGCTGAGATGAGATCCTAAAAGACATTCAAAATGTCGAGTGTGACGGTAGCGTTAGTGTTACTCGTGGTACAATTTTGTGTCGTGTTAACGGAGCATATATTTCGCGTACCAGGCGAACAGGAAATCGTCTGCCTTTTTGACATCCATGCCAAATTTCAAGATGGCCGCTGCGGCGATTTCAATGAGCAGACGATGGAAATGGCCTACACAACTTTATGGAAAATGGAACAGTTGAACGTAACCAATCCTTCATCCGTCTCTATAGGTAAGAAACCGTTCCATGCTTTCTATGATCATAACCAAGGGTTACTCGAGTTTTTATGTCGCTAGCTAGGTAGGACATGCTCACCTTTCAAGAACACCCGATGTCACCCTGAGACTGGGTTTATCAGCTAGTTCACAAAGCTAACATTGTTAATTTGGTTACTGTTTTTATTATTTCCTCATCCCTTTTGGAGAGTTCACAAAGATAACATTATTTTTTTGATATAATATGCATCAAATATAAGCAAAATGTATGATAATAACATTTCAAAACATCAACGACTGCCAAAATATTCCTCGTACAGCGGCCAGAAAGAACGAGAAGATATGTTAAGCTGTTGACATGTGATTGTGTATTTTTACTGACCGCAAGTCAATACAAATATTAAATATTCAACTTTCAATATTAACAATCAACAATCGACACATGCCTGTCATAGTTCACTGCTATAACTATCTCATAGCGTGCCAACTTTTCTTGATAACGACCTCCTTATTTCTGATTAGAATAGAACTTTACATTTCATTGACATACTGAATATAATTATAGAGCTATATTTTAATCAGATTGACATAGAGCTACAGCTTGTTTTTGCTTGAATATACTTTAGTCTCAGAAACGGGATTAATCTTTTTAGCTAAGCCAATCAGTAATAGTGTTTACAGCTCACCTTCGAAATTTGAGCCTTCAAATCCACGTGTGTCCAGAATTATCTGCGTTTGAATGTTAAAAAGGCGATTTCTTGAGAATCTGCCATATATAGAAAAAAAACATATATAGAAATAGAAAGTAAAATTCCTAGTATGATTTCGGGTAAGGGAGGGTTTGATTCTCCCAAATGTACAGGCCTAGGGTGGAGCAGACACTTTATTTAGAAATTAGGATTAAGGGTCTTGATATTGGGTTTTCTTCTGTTCTTATTCTGATCTGAAATTAGAAAAAATAACTCGACCAATTGGCGAGAAGTATAGTATCTGTTATGTAGCCTACTGATTGTTTTTTTTTTGAAGGGATTATGCGATTTCTAGTATTTCTGAAGACTATCTACATTTATTCCAAAATTAACCCAAGATGAGCGTGAATCTGTCACTTAAAAACATTTCAATTGAATCTCTTTTTCCATAAAAATATTCTAACCCCATTTCTAACACAGTGTATACCTTAAGAAAGAATTTAACTAATGACATTATTTATTCGAAAATCACCATTTCTCATGGGTTATAAAATAAGGTAGCAATTTTCTAAATTTACCCCAACGTTAAAGTGCCAAATTCAAATTAAGAAATACTCAAATACTCAAGATAGTTGTAAGTGTCAATATTTCACGAGTAAAAAAAACCTGACTTAATTTCTATTGCTAACCTGGTTAAAAACCTGTAGAATTATATGTCTGATTCGACTAGTATTTATTCAGTTAACAAAGTGAAATAGAAAGGTTCAATACAATAAAACGTTAAGTAAACACCTTACTACCGTTAGCGATTGATATCTCAACTCTTATAAAGACAAAAATCTGTTAAAGGCTCGCCATTTTTTAAAACTGATAAGAGAAGATTTTTCACGAACACCTTACTACAGTTAGCGATTGATAACTCAAGAACTACATTTCATTTCATTAGTCCAATAAGATACAGAACAGTAGGATATAAAACTACATTTCATTTCATTAGTCCAATAAGATACAGAACAGTAGGATATAAAACTCCATTTCATTTCATTAGTCCAATAAGACACAGAACAGTAAAATATATAACTCCATTTCATTAGTCCAATAAGATACAGAACAGTGGGATATAAAACTACATTTCATTTCATTAGTCCAATAAGATACAGAACAGTGGGATATAAAACTACATTTCATTTCATTAGTCCAATAAGATACAGAACAGTAGTATATAAAACTACATTTCATTTCATTAGTCCAATAAGATACAGAACAGTAGGATATAAAACTACATTTCATTTCATTAGTCCAATAAGATACTGAACAGTAGGATATAAATCTCCATTTCATTTAAAAAATGTCTGCTTTATATTTCAGGTCTAAGTGTATATGATGTCTGTGGTTCAGATAAGAGAGCAATAGAGATTCTCAGTCAGTATGTCCGAGCTGGAACTTCAGAAGGAAATGACACAAGATTAGCAGGTAATTCGATTTATTCTTATTAGACTCGATATAACCTTTTTTATAATTTTGGCATATAGTTCATCTACAATTGGATTTGGCTATTATACTATAAAAATCATTTTACTAGACCATTTTAATCTCGTTTATACCAATATCAACTGAATTATGTCTTCAATCAACTCGATCGGTTTTAATTAAACACGAACGCAAAGTAAGATAATCATTTTGAAAAATATAAAATAAGCGTTCCATTTTTTTTTACAGGAGTTATAAGTTATACTGGCACTAAAACCGGAAGTGCCATCTCCACTATGTTGCATCATCTTCATATCCCACACATACAGTTCACTGATGACGTCATAGCAGACGAACAAGAAACTTTTGATAACAGAAAAATCTTGTCGCTTACACCATTGGCCAGAATTGAAGTAAGTGTAATTATTCAAGCTTAAAGCCCAAGCTCAGTTTAAGCTTCTGTTGTGTGTTTACTTGTACATATGTGTTCAGATCAGGATCACGATTCGATACCCCGGACAGTGTTTTCGAAGTATGGTTCTTACTCAGTTTAACAGTACGTTGGTGATACTGCTAAATACTCTAGAATAGCAGACCTGTGCTCATGAGTACAATAATTCTCAGAATACATCGATTGAAGTAAGCTTTGGGGTTCTGAGAATGGGTTCCCCATCTTTCTCAGCTTTTAAAAATTCCAACAACAAGCTGATCCATTGTTTTGTATATAAAAAATACGACAACTTTTTGTGTTGTATTTTCAGGCAGCTGTTGACGCTCTTGGTCTCCTGAACTGGACGTACGTATCAGTTCAAACTCTACCCACAGCTCCTGCCAGAGCAGAACAGGAATACTTTACTAGAAGGCTGAAAGAGGTCGGGATCTGCCAAGAGAAACTGCAGACCGCATCTGAGAACAATGGTACTTTAACGATACACAAAGCTGTTCCCAAAGCCGTTGTTGCGTTTACTGGAGACCAGTTAACAAAACAACAGCTGTTAAACGTCCGAATGGATCCCACAAACAAATTGTTGTTGGTTGGTGATATTGGAAACGTGTCAGGTTCAAATTTCGGAGACAATATTATGGTTTTATTGGAACAATATACTCACATAGATGGTTTAGCGGAATACATTTCGGAAAAGCAAAACTTGAATGAACAGCCTGGTCGCCTTTTACCAAGATTCAACTGCTCGGAGGGCGAAAACGAGTGCAGCCTTCCAACTATGTCCTCTCAGCGTCATCATGTTACCGGAAATGCTGTACGGACTCTATATAAAGTCATTGAGACGCTCGCTGTCATGGAATGCACTACTGACAACGACTCCTGTTCACCTGCAAGCCTCGGGGAACAGATAGAGTATCACAGTAATGGTGGACAAGCTGAAAATTGGAAACCTTACGTCCAGTTGGTGCCTTTGTCTGAAAGCTACCAAGAGGAGGTAAGATTCTTATGAGCATAGAACAGCCAACAAGCATTCCACCAGTAGAATGGACTCTCATAACCGTTATCCATTGTTTGCCACAGTTGAAGGTAAAGGAAGATGCACTAGAAAACTACTTGGTACACTTGTGTGGCTCCTACCACCTCCTCACATCTCATGATTCAAAGAAACGACTCTTTGATGAAAATGGATTCTTCCTCCCTCCCCTATCACTTAGTTTTGCGTCAAACATACATAAGACATGGATGTTTTGCACACCAGAAGTACTTGAAGTTGCTAGGTTCGCATGCTCATGGCTAATTTAATCCTTTTTTCAGACTGATTCTACATTTTCAAATCTCCACGGCAGCGTAAAAGTTCAAGGTCGTCTGTCGGAAGATGTGTTCGGTAGTAAATGTGAAGAAAACTGTTTGGTGTGTTCCATGTGTGATGCCAAATATTCATCGAGTGAGCGGATCATCATTCGGGATGCTGACATTTTTATCGTTGGATCGTTTCCGATTTACAAATCATCAATCGGTAACAGATGTGGTTCCGCAAATCCCCGAGGTCTTCAGGCAGCCCGGTCTTTTCTTTCCGCCATTGACAGCTTCAAAACTAGGTATAACGATACGATTGCTCTTCAGAACATTACTATTGGCGGAGTGGTGTTCGATTCATGCCCTTTTACGGACAGTCTCAAATCCAGGATTAGTGACGTAGAATCCTGTATTTATAATTATAAAGATGCCTCTGGTCACATGGTCAGCCTTCCACCAACCAGAACTACTGGATATTTTAACTATTTTGACGATATTAACAATATGGCAACCACTTCCGGTCCGAAAATCACTGGTACCGTATCCCCTCTCGGATTTGGACTCGATGAGCAGCTGAACTACATCAAATCATTGATCAAGGTCCTTCAGAAGGTCAAATGGACATATTTTAGGATTATTTACTCGGCGAATAAAAATCTAAAATCAATGGTCAACGAATTTCATGAACGAATCGTCGGAGAGAGTTTGTGCGTTGCGGAAGTGATCGAGATAGGACCGAGTGTGGACGACTATCTTCCTCAAGATACCTTGATGAACACGAAAGACGTTGGAACGATCTTGTTCACCACTCTGGACGACACGGTAAAGATTCTGGACTCCTTCCAATCCTTCAACTCCTCCAGTTCTAAACAAAAGTTCTTCATGTTTCCGTGGAACGTTGAAGCTCTTATTGCGATTAAATATCCAACATTTTTGGAAAACGCGTTAGTGATTCGACCTCGCACGTGGCTGGAAACTCCCGGCATAAATGACACTTTGTCAGATGACGTCATACCATGGATCGAAGAATTCCAAACGACATCGAACGAGACCGATAAATCGAACGCAGACAAAACAGTGGTGGTTGGCGTTGATATTCTTATGTCCACTATCAACGCGGTATATAGAGAACTATGTCCAAAACAAAATGGCGTCTGCAGTGAGTTTTCCGATTTCAAAGCGTTGAAGCCACGATTAGAAGAAACGTTCAGTATGCTGATTTCCGGCATGGAGTCGCCATTTGAGGTGTATGACGTCAGAACAGTGAACGGTAAACTAGATTCTGTGCAGGTAAGTGAGAATTCTTGTTTACTTCTGATCTTGGTCAAACTCCCGGTAATGCTTGGTCACACTTCCGGTGACTTCTATGGTGCATGTGAATCCGTAAGAATCCATGTCGTAGGCTACTGTAGACCAGGATTAGAAGCTCTGTTTCATTTTATTTCGTAATTTTTTTCTATTTGATTTCCAGATAGGTGAAGTAGACGTTGAAGGTAATGTGAAACTAGAGTTATCGAACGTTGATAATGCTAAACGCGGTTATCTAGACATACCATCCAGTGTTTGCCAGACGTGGTGTCCAGAGTGCTACGTATGTTCACACGGGAGACAATCCGGGGAAGATTTGTTGTATTTGCCTGGTGAAATCATCATCACCGGTGTTCTACCAATACATCAGAGTGGGTTGTCACCCTTTACATGTGGTGATGTCGCAGACGATATTTTCTCTCAACAGCTAGCGGAAGCGTTCATGTATGCTGTTGAAACTGCTCAAAGGCGGTACCCTTATTTGCTAGGTCGCGTCAGTGTTGGAGGAATGATTATTGACAGTTGTTCAAATCCTCACAAATCGACTCAAATGATCGGAAATTTTGAGACTTGCGACTTCAAATTCCCCAACAGTGATCTTCTGATCCCTTCTCCTAAATCGAATCTAGCCTACATCATTCACGGCGAAAATTCTTCTATGGACAGTGCCGTGAAATCCGCTCAAGATCTTGGGAAATTAGCTGTTGCTACATACAACTCGATTGAGAATCCTCAGCAGATCAGCGGTGATTCCAGCGTCCAGCAGAAAAACATGGCGATCGTGGATCTCCTCGTTAAATTAAACTGGACCTACATCTATCTCGTGACGTCAGAGGATTCAAGTTATCGCGATCCTCTCGAAGAATTTCTTAAAACAGCTTCAAATCGTGGAATTTGTGTCGGAAAAATTCTAGGATTAGGAGCTACTGTGGAGTCCATTGTTGAAGTCGCGAAGTATTTGACGGAAGACAACACTGCTGTGGTCATGATGACGAAAAGATCCGACATTAAACTTTTTTTCAACAGTCAGAGCACGGATGTTCCCATCCGTCCGTGGATAATCGACATTTCCGGAGACGATTGGAACTCGGAGAACGTTTTAGATGTAAAAGTTCCACAAGGATCTTTGCTCATTGACAAAAATGGAAAACAAAATGTCGCATTTGAAAAATTTATGTCAGATGTTGACGTCTCGTCGTTAAGGAATTCTGATTGGTGGAGACAGTATTGGCAAATAAAATTCAACTGCAGCGTGTCATGTGACTTTAATCTTCAGAAGATTTCTTGGCGGCCTTTCTCGGTGAAGGCAGCTAGGATGATACGGTCGGTTGATATTGCTCTACACACTATTCATCAACAGTATCTGGCGTCATGTCCGTTGACTAATGGTATCTGCTCGAACTTTGTGAAATCCGGAATGTCCTTGATCCCTTCTAGAGCGTTAGAAGTGTATTTTCGGGAAGGAGAGGAGAGAATGGAATTCAATGAGAATGGTCAAATTTCCCAAAAGTATCAGATCAAGACGTACAGCTCTGATCAACAGTATGAGGTAGGCCAACACACATGTCCACAGACTTTATAGGATTGGCTTCAGTATTGTTATGGGTGTTTCATGCTCACCTTTCCGAAACACATGATGCCACTCTTCGACTATGCATCTCTTTCCGAGAGTCAACATATCTAGTATTGTTTTCTGTTCTCAAAGTTTCTATTGCCCCTGTCCATAGTTCTATTTTCTGTGTATAGAAACATCAGACATATCCCAACTGTGGGTAATATTCCAGAGAGTGATCCACAGTTGTACTATTGTCTATTTATAGATACAACACACATGGATTATAATCCATAGGGTCGTCCTCTGTACTGTAGGCGTCATCTCTTACTCAAAGTCACATACCAAAAGAATGCCGAACTCCTTGTGTGCAAAGGTTTCAAGCTTAGTCTGTTTTTTTTTTCAGGTCGGAGTATGGAGAGACGGTGTCCTGACTTTACAAACCTCATTCTTCCAATATCTTTCCTCATCCACTTGCACAGTAGACTGTAACTGTGAGAATCGGGTCAAGTTCACCAACGTCACTAAGGTGGCGGAGCAGCAGAGCAGCCCTGATCGCTTCGTCTACTGGAGAAATAGTGGAATCTTTACTGGGAAACTGTGGGCCACGGTGTTAGTGGCAATAGCCGCAACCGGAGCCTTTATTTCAGTTGTTCTTATCGTTTATGTTGTTCATAAAGTATGCAACAAGACGCTGGCACGTCGCTATGTTGGTTTGGGTATCTTGCTTCTTGTGGGAGTCATGCTTTTGTTTCTGTCTATTGTGCCTTTTGTGTTTACTCCCTCGGAGACGCTGTGTGGATTAAGGTTTGTGATGCCTGGTTGTGCCTTTGCATTTTGTTTTGCTACCATTCTCGTGAAATTGACGTCGCTACGGGATTACCGTTTGATTGGATTAGGAGGCGAAGTGTCCAATTTAAATCAGTATCTGTTTGTCGTGTTCGTTACCGTCGTGCAAGTCGGGATCGCTATTCAGTGGTGGGTGCTCAAGACACCACTAGTGTTGACGAAAACTATGGATAATGTAGTGTTCTATGCGTGCCATTATGGACAATTGGAGTACATTCTCCATCAAGTGTACATCATGGTGTTAATCCTGTTGTGTGCGACCTACGCCATTACGGTGCGTCACGAGACCAAAAACATGGGAGAAGCTCGGCTTCTGTTGTGGTGTTGTTGGTTATGTGTGCCGGTTTGGATCGCCTGGATCATAGTGTTCCTTATCCAAGATCCAGAGTATTCCGATCCAACAGTGTGTGTTGCCATTGTGTCGTGTGCGACTCTGATGATGACTGTCATTTTCATCCCGAAAATTCACATGGTGGCCAAAATTAAATACAGCATATCTAAAGGTGCCACCAGTTTCCAAAATGGCTATAAACTGGATAGCGAGTTCTTCTATGAGAAGCCTTACTCTTTACCAGGGACCCTGACTACCAATTACTCCACGATGAAAACAGGATACTCAACCACCAAAACTCATCCGAGGAGCATCTCCAATTTTGATGCAACTTTAAGCTATTGAGCGTTCACATCTTTTACAATACTTCCTAGTCCCTGTCATATATATAACATAGTCCTTATGTAAACCTTTAGTGACACTTTGATCAAGGGATCAGTTCGTCCGGAGTATGGCGGTACAGTATACTTCTATGTGTATGCATGATACATTTTGTGTTTAGTTTGTCCTATTCTACTAGCAAATACAAATTATCGAAACGTCAGTCCACATCTTTGGATTAAATACAAAATCGAACTAACAATAGGTTTGAAGAAGGCAAGTATACATAGACAAAATCAAAAAGGAGTAAAGGTGAGATGAACGTTTAAGAGAGACTTGTTCAGAAGTTACCGAAGCTTTGCGCTTAATTCTTAGAACTTGTTCTTATCTAAGGTTAAGTCCAAAATGGTCATTTAAGCTTGAATTAAGCTTTGATCTTAAACTGAAGCTTAAACTATATTTGTGAAGCATGAAGCTTAATATTTCAGCTTAAATGACATAACTAGCTCTTGGCCTAAAATAAGCTTTGAGCTTAAACTATGAAAACTGCTTCTGATCTGAACTAAAAAAAAGCTTAAAATCCTGTGGGAAGCATGAACTGAGCTATGAGCTTAAATTGTGATCGGTTGTGTATGGTGCTTGTATTAAGCATTCTCTGACCCTTTGAGCTATTAAAGTGAACAGTAAGTCTAATGCATGGCCATTACTTTATCCATGTACTTTATTTATGTGTGAGAGACTAACTTTGAATCCATGTAAGAAATTGTACGGTGCTTGCTTGAGTGTTGTTTTGGATGAAATTTGGTGTTTGGCTCATCAAAAGCTTAAAAAGCTCAAAGAGCTTAAAGGTACAGTAATGCTTCTTATGATTGACAATGTATTTTGTGAGCAATTGTGCCATTAATGTATGTCTCTATTGTGATGCATGTCTACAAGGGTCCCATCTAATTAAAATTAAGAAACAATTTAGTATCTTCTTTGTTTTCTGGTATTTTTGTATCCATTGATAACTTAACAATTTGTGAGATAGTGAAACTTAAAGAGGTTGTTATATGACTCTACTTTCGGTTTTTCTATCCCACAATTCGTTATATTATCAAAAAATGGGTTCTACATGAAACGCTTTGATTGGTTAAGAATAACGTCATTCGAACGAATTTGTGGTAGAATGCTTGTTAGATTACAATGGAGAAGAAAAATCTTAGAAAACAAACAAGGAACGAAATTGTAATCTGACCGACAACTGTCTTAATTTGTCAGCTTATTGTTGCGTGTTTGTTGTACAGTGCTTAACACCATGCCCCTCGGCCTCTCTTCTCTCGTTTCAGATTGCAACGTTTCGACAGATTACTCTGAACTGATAACACGTAGAGAGATGGAGCCATAACATTCCAGAAAGAAGAAGGACTGTGCAGTGAATTGAATCATCACTGATGGTGAATGATGAATGAATATGGAGTTAAACGCAGAATCTTACACAACAAATATCCAATTAAGGGAATACCATTTAATAAAATGTCTTGTAGTCAAAGACTATCTTGATACATGTAGTAGTATTTATATTTAGGACTTGGCGGATAGTTATATATTTATATGTATGCATACAATAAGATACCGGTTGTTCGAGCAACACTCACCTTTCGGGGGGAGGAATCGACAGCATAATATTCTCTTTAAATTGAGGTTTATTGATAAAGGGAGGTAACTATTATTGTAAACATGCATGCCGATGATCTTATCAATGATCTATCAGCCACCATACATATCCATACACATTCGATTTGATAAGCAATTGCGTATCCACATTTTATGATAAAGTGATGCAGCAAATTTGACTAGTTTACCCTTCCATACACATACAAATTAACGTTGAGTAATTATGCCGATGTATAATGTATTCTGACAAAGAAAACCTTCCATACAAACACTGTATGCACTATCATGACACCTCATTTTGACAAAGATGCAAATTTCCCCAACTTATATATATGCCTACAAATCATGACAATTCCTTTGGCAGAGTTAACCTTCCATACTATTATGTTTTTTAAGATGACTTTGTATTATTATATATTGTTATATACTGTATTCTTATAAATATAAAATATTATTATTTTTATGTCGCTTGTTATTAACGTTTAGCTCTGTCGATAAGGGGCTGCCCTGCACTTTCCTTCTTGACAATGCATGGGGTGGGGGGGAGGTGTCTTAGTAGCTAAATTTTGTCATCTTTTCCCCTACATAAAACCACCCTAAAAATATAAAAAAACATACAAATAAGAAAAAGTAGAGGCTATGCTTAAAACATACACGCAGGTTCATGTAGTAGCTAAGTTTTGTCACTTATCCCCTTCCATAAAACCTCTCTCGAACCGTATCAAATGTACTACAATATCAAAGTTTATGTCTGTGTAAACACACGTAGTAACGAGTAAAGTATATAAGTATGTTATTAAAGGACATTCGACTCCACCGGAGACTAGTACCGCCGTCACAAGGTGAAATCCGAAACGTTGCAATCAGACTTCAATCATTTCATTAATTCAACAAATTCAGCGAATTGTTTTATCGTAATTAAAGATGCACGCCCACGTAAAAAAAAATTCACAGCACAATTTCTTTGTGTTTTTCCCCCTTTTTTTGGTAGGGGGGGGGGGGGGGTGGGGAGGGGGAGGGACGGGCTGTTTTTAGTTGATTAAGATATCTTGATAATAGTCTTCTTAAGTGTGTCTGGCAAAGCTTTCCTCATTATTTGCACAATGCACGGTCATCATTAAACCAGCACCATTACACATAAGACGGACGTAAAACTCCATTTCATTTAAGTGACCTCTGCATTCTAGAATTAATTTCGGATAACATTAATGCTGTCAGAAAAGAACAAAGTAGACTTAGCTTTTTGATATAAAGATATAACGAGGAGGGTTTCCTTTAAATGAAATGAATTTAAAGAGAGACTCGACTAACTTTATTGACTGTTGCCAAAATATTTGACGATCAGACCAAACATGTAGGCCATAGTATCTCTTCAGTTATATTGAAAATGTCGCGTGTGTACGAATATTTGAAATAATTCCCCACTTTACGTCCATTGAAGAAAATCGGGGATCAGTTTTTGTTGACACGAGTAAAAGAATCGACATACCCCGTACCAATATAGTACAGGGGGGAACGCGAGACGGTCGTCAAAATTGAGATTCATCTCCTTTGAAGAGAGTCTTTTGATTGTCCAAAATATTTATTCAAAATTCAAAATGACCACTTTTGAAACTGAAATTTTTCTTCAAAATAAAGATTCATAGCCCAAGATATAAATTATACATATGACCAACTGGCAGAAAAGATCCCAGTGAAACCTAGGTTGTTATCCTTTTTAAATCATTACCAAGAGCTTTGGCCAAGGACCAGTTGGTAGAAAGGATCTTAGAGAACCTAGGTTGTTATCCTTGTTAAATCATTACCAAGAGCTTTGGCCAAGGACCAGCTGGTAGAAATGATCCTAGAGAACCTAGGTTGTTATCCTTGTTAGATCATTACCAAGAGCTTTGGCCAAGGACCAGCTGGTAGAAAGGATCCTAGAGAACCTAGGTTGTTATCCTTTTTAAATCATTACCAAGAGCTTTGGCCAAGGACCAGCTGGTAGAAAGGATCTTAGAGAACCTAGGTTGTTATCCTTGTTAAATCATTACCAAGAGCTTTGACCAAGGACCAGCTGGTAGAAATGATCTTAGAGAACCTAGGTTGTTATCCTTCTTAGATCATTGCCAAGAGCTTTGGCCAAGGACCAGCTGGTAGAAAGGATCCTAGAGAACCTGGGTTGTTATCCTTGTTAAATCATTACCAAGAGCTTTGACCAAGGACCAGCTGGTAGAAAGGATCCTAGAGAACCTAGGTTGTTATCCTTGTTAAATCATTACCAAGAGCTTTGGCCAAGGACCAGCTGGTAGAAAGGATCTTAGAGAACCTAGGTTGTTATCCTTGTTAAATCATTACCAAGAGCTTTGGCCAAGGACCAGCTGGTAGAAAGGATCTTAGAGAACCTAGGTTGTTATCCTTGTTAAATCATTACCAAGAGCTTTGGCCAAGGACCAGCTGGTAGAAAGGATCTTAGAGAACCTAGGTTGTTATCCTTGTTAAATCATTACCAAGAGCTTTGGCCAAGGACCAGCTGAAAAAAAAGATCCTAAACGTCTGATTGTTTCTAAATCAAAGTCAAATCTTGATAATAGTTGGCCGATAACGATCATCAACCATCTTGGATTCTGAGCAAACATTGTTGACACTGATAAACAGTGACGGCACCGGTTTGGGTACAGGGGAGAGGGGGCATTTGAACCCCTAGAAAAATGGTTCGCAAACTCATTTGTACTTCCACGTTATTCTTAACAAATCTAAAAATATGATTGTTTTTATGTTTGTGCCCACAAATATGTATCAGGATGCACCAGATCAATTCGATATTCCGAAATCGTTTTGGTAGAACTTTCTCAGACGTCCCTTAAGAGGCTTGATACTACGACACCACGACAGAGTTACCGCATTTTGAATTCAGCCTCGACAGCTGTCTCCCTCATTACGCCAATCTTTCCCCTATTTGTACCCCCAGTCTCAGGAGGCTGGTGCCGCCACTGCTGATAGATATAGAATAAATAGGTTATAATATACAATAGATTGATAATGATATAAGATAATTATTAGACTCTATAACCTATATTCATTATCAATTTACACGTAATCTTAACTCCTTAAAGTTTGAATTTTAAATTAGGACTAGTTGAGGACAATGGACTGTATTTCGTCTTGTTCGATGTACCTGTTAGATCACCAAGAGTTTTACCCAAAGAACTGTTTTGTTCGATTTACCTTTCTAACTGTATCCAGAGTTTTGTCCCTTTGATGAATAATACCCAGAGTTTTGTCCCTTTGATGAATAATACCCAGAGTTTTGTCCCTTTGATGAATAATACCCAGAGTTTTGTCCCTTTGATGAACTATACCCAGAGTTTTGTCCCTTTGGTGAACTA